AATGCAATCATGATATCAGAATAGACCCTGGGGTCTGACCGAACCCCTAGGGACCTAGTTTCTTAGTCACAGCTTGGAAACAGTTGAGAGCCCCACCCTTTAACCGTATATATACAATTGCTGAGTATAAAGAGATGATTGCACATATGCTTCCAGGTTGGCCTTGGGGACTGCCCCACCCTTGGAGACTTAACCCCTGGGTCATAACTTTGAAATGGTTAATATCCCCACCCCAAAACTATATATACAACTGTTGGGCATAAAGAGACGAATGCAGTCATGACATAAGAATTTGTCCCAGGGTCTGCCCCACCCTTGCAGACTGGCCCCTGGGTCATAACTTTGAAACGGTTGAGATCCCCACCCCAAAACTGTATATACAAATGCTTGGCATAAAGAGACAAATGCAGTCACAATATTAGAATCGATCCTGGGGTCTGGCCACAACTCTAGGGACCTACTTTCTGAGTCAAAGCTTGGAAACAGTTGAGATCCCCACCCCATAACCATACATAAAATTGCTGGGCATGAAAAATGTAATATAGCTATGCTACAAGGATTGGCCTTGGGGTCTGGCATATTCCCTTGATTTCATTTTGAGAATAGTTTGCCATGATTGCTTAGGTATCCAGGTGAGCGATACAGGCCCTCTGGGCATCTTGTTCTGGACTGTAATATCATTATCACTTTGACACACAATCACAGGTAAGTTTATTACTAGCGACTGTTACTATGGTAACACCATTACACTAGACTGTAATATCATTATCACTTTGACACACAATCACTGGTAAGGTCATTACTATGGACAGTTACTATGGTAACACCATTACTCTAGACTGTAATAACATTATCACTTTGACACACAATCACTGGTAAGGTCATAACTATGGACTGTTACTATGGTAACACCATTACTCTAGACTGTAATAACATTATCACTTTGACACACAATCACTGGTAAGGTCCTTACTATGGACTGTTACTATGGTAATATCATTTCTATGATATCATCCTTACTATAGACTGACATCATTACCACTGTGACACCATTATCTTGTCCTCGTTACTACTTATATGGTATCAGATGGTTTTCCAATTTATGCAAACATGTTGTCTATCAATGTGTACCTGTGTACCTGCTATGTTGTTTCACACACCCCTTTTAGAGTGTTATGACCACTGATGGATAATCCTCCTCCTAGTGTCATTTAATTTCATGCAGACTTGCATGCCAAAAAACATTCTCCAAATTTTGGGATAATTGGGCTAAGTCATGTTGACCATAAGTAGATTTTTACTTTCTTTATCAAAGAGTATGCGTTCTAGGTACATAGGTACATTTTTCAACACAGAAATATTTTATTGTGTTTGAAATTAATATATAATAGGTAAAAGGTCAATGTATATCCTGTTTTCTGTATCACTTTAATTAACCTCATCAACAGCTTTAAAACCATAATTGTTCTGGTTTTGACATTGACTGTATAACTTTATCATTCTTATGATTTAACCTCTAACTGTATGACTGTTGTAATGGTTTTGACATCTAACTGTATGATAATGGTTATTTTGATATTAATAGCTGTACAACTTGTCTTTTGTAAGGATTTGAACTCACTGTTGTAGGTTATCCTGCTGCTGATTCTGCTGGTGATGAGGAAGAGAATTGCTCTGGTGGTAACACTGTTTAAAGAGGCCGGAGAGTGTGTCCAGGCTATGCCCTGTTTGTTGATACAGCCTTTATGGACTTTCCTCATCCTCATCCTCTTCTTTGTCTACTGGGTCATTATTCTGGCCTATCTCTCTACATCAGGTAAAAATTAACATAATCCTAGCTTAACTCTACACGTGTACATCATCCTGGCCTACCTCTACACATGTATATCATCCTTGCCTACCTCTACAAATGTACTTTATCCTTGCATACCTCTTACATTATCCAGACCTACCTCTACAAATGTACATTTTGTACATCATCCTGGCCTACCTCTACACATGTTCATTATCCAGGCCTACCTCTACAAATTAAATGTACATTTTGTACATAATCCTGGCCTACCTCTACACATATACATCATCCTGGCCTACCTCTACATATGTATATCATCCGGACCTACCTCTACACATGTACATCATCCTGGCCTACCTCTATGCATATGTACATCATCCTGGCCTACTTCTACACATGTATATTATCCTGGCCTACCTCTATGCATATGTACATCATCCTGGCCTACTTCTACATATGTATATCATCCTGGCCTACCTCTACATCTGTACATTATCCTGGCCTAACCTACATTTATGTATATCATCCTGGCTTACTTATACACAAGTACATTCATTCTTGTCTACAGCTCTACATCCTTATACCCTTTGCTACACAAATATATAAATGCTTGATTTTTTTATATGTCGATCTGGCTAAAAGCAGTTCTAGAATATAATCTCAGAGAATTAGGCTTATAGAGGCATTCAGGTTTTGTTGATGCTAGAATCAATAGCAGCAGTAATACTTGCATAACAATGTAAATGCATTATCTTATGATGTATGTTTTATTAGTGATTACAGTATCATTTAAAACTAAATTCAGGTTTATCTTTTATCAGAAATTGACACGGCTTCTATTTTAAAAACTTTTGAATGTTTTTCAATATTTCAGAAATACCGTCACTGGGAGAGAATAATTTTGTACGATATGATGAACATGAGACAGTGTCCTACCTGTGGTGGTACCATCTCATTGGTCTAATCTGGACCAGTGAGTTCATCATCGCCTGTCAGCAGCTTGTCATTTCCGGGGCTGTAGCCACATGGTACTTTGCAAGGTCAGTATGGAGCTAACCTGGGTTTCCCTACCAGTAGATGTTTACATGTTTCAGCTTTTTGTGTGAAATCATTTATTCTAATAATTGACACTTGTTCTCTATTCAGCAACTGCCCTTTTACACAGACATGCAGGGTTCCATTTCCTGTAAGATCATGATCACAGATAATATTATTTCCCAATCAATGAAGTTGGTGAAGATACAAAATCGAGGCTTTTGCATCAACTTGCTCAGGGCCTGTGACACACAAATGTCCTTCAAATAGGGCTCCCTGCTGTTTGCCCTATAATTCACTTGAAAGACAACTTTAGAGATAAAAGAAAAAAAACTACTACAGCAGTAAAAGAGAACTTTAATTATAGGGAACATAAACAGATTGAGTTAATCATGAATACGTGTTGGTAAAGTGGACTGTATTTCACATTTTGACTCTACAGGGACAAGAGCACAGTAAGCTGTCCGCTGTGTAAATCTATCAGTCTGCTGGTGTTCCACCACTTGGGATCTGTGGCCTTTGGAGCATTTATCATCACAATGGTCAAGCTGCCCCGAATGATACTCATGTATTTACAGAAGAAGTAAGTGAACTGATTAATAAAATCTATTACCTATTACGGAGAGAAATCCGGTTATTTCAGTCGAGGGCTAAGATTTGTAATAAAATCTCAATCGAGGTGTAAGCCATGGTTGGGATGTTACAAAATCTTAGCATGAGACCGAGATAAACCAATCTCGCTCAGTTACAGTATAAGATTTTTTTTTCTCAAAACTTTTAATAAAAAAAAACCTATTCAATTTTTCTTAAGACTACAAGTATCCCATCTGGAGCCTCAACAAAATATGGCCTCTACACTACTACTAAAGCTACATTTGAATGCTTCCGTGTAAAAATATATTCAGTCCTTACAAAGAAGACAACACATTTCACAGTGTAGCTTATATTCAATCTAAAACATCAGATATCTAACAACATCAAAACAATACATATAATGACAAAACAGAATATGTATTATGCAGATTGTCAATTTCAAGCCATTAACGAGCAGATGAATATGTCGCTATGTAAAAATTCCACGAAATGTCACTTAAAGGTACCAGACAGATGGGACGAGATAAAAAAATCTAGCATGGGGTATAATATGGGATATCACTGTCTGAGGTGTGAGGTGTCACATTTACTGATACAGACCCATTGAGTATCTTGTGTATGATGTATCATCCACTGAGAACCTAGCATTAATGAAGTCGTTTGTTGCCACAGGTTTAAGGGATCAGAGAACCAGTGTGCACAGTACTGTCTCAAGTGTTGTATCTGTTGTCTATGGTGCCTGGAAAAATGCCTGAAATATCTCAATCAAAATGCATATACTGTTGTAGGTAAGTGGAACCTTGTATGCTTTGCAATGGAGCCTCAATCAAAATGTTTACCAAACAGTGTTAACTAGTAGTCATGTTTAGTTACTGATCTTTTAGCTTTGTTTAGTTTTTCAGTTAGGTTTACAAGATTGAATGCAGTTGTATATTTATTAAAGTGTTGGATCTATGTTAATGTACTTACACAGGGAATGTAATTATTACTACCAACAAAATGCTCAATGACTGCCCTATAATAAATACCAACAGAATGCTCACCAACTGTTCTTGTAGGATTATGATTTCATGTCGATTATTCTACCTGAGCTGAAATATAATCTGTTTTACATTGTTACAGCAATAAGGGGAACCAATTTCTGCTCATCAGCCAAAAAAGTAAGTCCCTTCCTTACCTATTGCTATAGGTAATTATTGATTTTCCATTACCTTTATCAGCAGTAGCCAAATTAGACTTATCACGACTAATATTGGTGCTGAGGTTACCAGATATAGGATAATAATACGACTTTCAGGCTTTTATCACATACCTGTTGAATCTTGTTATAGTAATACAGGCAATTTTCAGACCATGAAATACAACATTCTGTATGTGCAATACGGAATGTTGTATTTACCTACTAGCCGGAACTACTTTTTATGGGAATCCCCTTGTCATGGCAAACCGAAAAGTTCCTGGTATTTGCAAAAAATATCAAAGTTCATAAAACCTTTGTTTTGATCTCTACCAAATACGGAAGGTATGTGATAAAAGCAAGACCACACACTTGTGTTTTTCTACCGATTCAAAAAGCACTCATTTATTGTGCAGACGTATATATTCACTCGTGCGCTCCACGCACTTGTGAATATATTCGTCCACGCAATAAACTTGTGCTTTCTGATTCGTTAGAAAAACGCAAGTGTGTGGTCTTACATATATCTCCCTATGACATTCAGACTTGTGTTTATTAGTATAATTCTGAGGTCAATGTAGACATTACCTTGAACGTTGCATATATATAACCTGCAGAATTGTGTAGAAGTCACATTGAGGGATGTTTACTCACTTGACCTCGACAGGTGTGTAGATTCGACCTTAATTATTGATAAATATAACCTTGACGGTTATATGAATATGATTTTGAACATCTGATAGATATAAACTTAAGAATTGCATAGTAATTACCCGCAGGTTTATGTTGATTTGACTTCGCAGTTTAACAGACTTTCCTACATTTTTGTATATATATGACCCTGACCATTGAGTAGAATGACCTGGCAGTAATAGTGTTGCAGGCCGTTGTTATTAACCCTTTCGCCACTGTAGACCATAATGGACTCATCCTAATAAATGAGTGGTAGGGTCTACTAAAGTTACCTAGGGGTGAAAGGGTTAAGTAGAAAAATACCATGTAGTTCCTTGTCGCATTGGAATCTTCTCTTTTTTGTGATGTCACATTGTTGTTGTCCCATGGTGATGTCGTGCATTACACCCAGTTACAACTCTTTCTTGCACTGGACAGTTCTGTCATATATACACAGGAATGAGAGAAATAGACATTACAGTTGTGTGAATTGTGTCTTTGCATTGTTTCAGGCCTTTTTGACGTTATTCAATAATGCCCTCCGTGTGGTGGCTATTAATAGCGTTGGGGACTTCATTCTGATGCTGGGTAAAATTGGTGTGATGGCTGCCACAGCAGCTGTGGGCATCATCTGGCTCAAGGTCGGTATATGTTTATCTAGGTATAGTGAATTAAATTTCAAGGTTAGAAATTTTCTTTGGTCCTGTTCAAATATTTTTGAGTTAAATATTAAACAAATAACAAATCGAATAGCACTGTTAAGTGGTATGTTCAGGATGATATCTGTATTGTCATGTTTCTGTTGAACTTTAATTAACAGATGTATATCCTTTACAAGGATTTAACTACATTGCATTCATAAACAAATGGTTTTTATTTGATGAATTTTTTTTCATTTGATTAATTACTGATATATTAATTGAAATCTTGTCATTCTTTTGAAAATTTGACATTGTTTGATCAGGAGCACAGTCTTATAAGGCACTTGATTAAAGTAAATTGATAGTTTTTCTAATGAAAGAAACCTTTTCTCTTTGTCATCCTGTAACATTTTCAGTCTAAAAAAGCGATTTGTAACAATATATGACTCAAATGGCAGTTACCCGACTTCAAAATACTGCCAGAAATTGAATTGATGAAACGGAAAAGAAATTTGCCAACGGGTGTTGATATTTGTATTTCAGGACAAGGAGGGCCTCCATTACTACCCAGTTCCGGTTTTACTGACCTGTGTGTTTGCTTTCTTTGTTGCTCACTGTTTCCTCTCGATTTACGAGGTAAGCTTGGAAGACTTGGAGCTAACAGCCTTCTACTAACACTTCATTATGATAACTATTTAGAGCACTTGTCCAACACATCCTATTTGATAGTCAAATATAATTACATCGTAAATTGATAACTTAAAACAATGGGGTATCAGATTTTGTTAATGACCAACTGCTGTGCAGTAACAACCATGCATTGAATACAGACTACCACATGTAATATTTCCCTTGATTTGAAATAAAAGAATAATCGAAGTCACAAAAAAATCTCAATTTGTAATTGCATGTCATACCACTGCCAAAACTGTAATTATACATTGAAAACACTTTCTGCATACCTATAGCTTTGATCAATCAAACCATATCTTGCCGGACCTTATCAGCTACCTGGTCAAGGGAAGGGTCTTTGCCCAATTTCGCTACTGTTATATCCAAAATGAAAATAAGGGGAGGCTACTGTATGTAAGATAAACTACATTGGAACTCTCTAGTGTTTTGCTTCAAGTGGGACAAGGAACCTTAAAACAGTTAAAAACATTTAAAAAACACATTTAAAAAGAAAGCTTTTAAGTAGGTAAATGTATATCAATGATTCTGGTTTATGCTCGTATAGATGGTGATTGATGCAATATTCCTGTGCTTCTGTGAGGATGTTGACATGAATGATGGTTCACCAGAAAGACGCTACTATGCCAGCCCGTCTTTACATGTAAGTTAAAACAGTAAAGTGCTTTTCACTCTGACCTCAAGGACCATGTACACAACCTTTTCGATCAGTGCTCTTCGATTCATAAATGGGAGGGCACTATAATATGGAGAGGAGAATTTAACATAAAATCCCAGAAGTTTTTCCTGCAGGCAATAACTTAGAGAAAGGTGTCATTTCTTTATTTCCTGTTGAGTTTAGCGTTACACGTAAGGTTACACTCTATCAACATGTACTGAAATAAGCAAATTCTTCCTCCTGTGGTTTCAAATGTCGCTTCCTATTTACCAGGAAATAAGCAACTATCGTCCATTATATTTCTGATTAACTAGCATGTTTATCTAGAAATAGAACTTTCACTTAAAAAATTTAATACATTTGATAGGTAATAATGTTACAAATAACTATTTTCAGTTCATAGTGTGTTAAGTAGATCCCATACAATAAGTGACAGGTACTTGTTAGCTAGCAGGAGTTGTCTCCCCATAAGGATTTAGAGAATTCAAACATATTAAATGTTATAAGCATATTTTACTTGACATATTTTGCTGTTGCAGAAATACATTGAAGAGAGCAGTAAAAAGCTAAATGAATTGACAAGGGAAGGTACGGTAGAGGAGACGGAACCAGCAAGGTTGTAACCATAGCAACAGAAAAGCAACCACAGACAGCCTGATTCACCAATCAAATTGGTGCAAGTATTTCCAGGGATTAATATTCATAGAATGTCATCTTCCTATGGTGATTGGCTGAAAATGAATTTTCAGTTTCTGTTAATTTTTAAAAGCTGTGAACTTTAGGAAATGCACTGTACCTTGTATTGAAAGAAGAAAATTATATAAAAAAATAATTTGGGGAATGGTATTTTGTCTGAATATAAGTGTTATATGATGCTGCGCTAGGATGGAAGCTGAGGTGTGGGTGTGTAGTGTTTTAAATGCTGACTGCTATAAACAGTTTTAGAAATTGCTGAACAAATTAAAAATCATATATTTTTCGTACCTAGGAGAACAATACTGACCATTTATTCATTGACAAACAGCTTCAATGTATGTTTTTAGAATAATCTCAAATCAGTAAGAGTAACGGACAACATTGAAGATGCAGAAGTGATTTGATAGCAAATAAAGCCAAATGTGACAACCCAAGGGAGAGTACTCTGTACAATTTTTGAACTAAAAGGTTGTATTTAGCTGTTTAATAGCCATGGACTGGAGCTGAAATCAAGTGCACTAACATAAATTCGGCCAGGGGCTTGGTACATGTGCACTAAAATATACATGACCAGGGGTTATGTGTGCACATACGTTGATTTTACCAGGGACATTGCACATATGCAGTTACATAACTTTGGTCAGACTAACTAGGGCATGATGCATTTAATTTCTGATTCATAGATAATGTTGAAAGCAAATGCTTACTTTGAATATTGGATGTGTCATAACTTTAAATAACTATAAAAATGATACACATTGTATTACATATTGTATGCATGTTTTGTATGATCCTAGGTTTTTAACAGCGTGATTAAGATCATTAAAATGTGTGAATTTTGTCAATATTTGATCACCAACCTGAACCATTTTATAAATGACAAAGTAATAAATGCTTAGGACTTATATTGTACCTAGCTGTTTTAATGCCCTATGTGTATAGTTTATAAAAAAAAGAAATACCTGCTGTTACTTCTATACAAAGCAAGACCTGTATCTTGTTTTCTGCTTAGGTTTCGCTTTTGATATGCATATTGTATCAAATTGTAATATTGGGGTAAAATAGCAACTGAATTTTAATTTTATGCTTTCTATTTTCAAAAGAAAATCAATATATAGATAATTAAACAAATTATGATAACAAATCTGCTGTGAATTGATTAGCTTGTTACTGTTTTGATGGTTTTGGTTGAGAATGTGAAGAATTTTTGTGGTTTATAATCTCCAAATGTCAGTGACATGTAGACACATATATACTTTTATTTTGTATTTTATATGCTGGTTGTACTAGTCTTACCAAGCTGGAATAATTTGCCAAGTGACTGGGTTGCTATTTATGTTATACATTTATTTCATCATTGTAACATTATTTTTTCATCATCGATGATGTATTTACCTATTTCGTGATCAAGGTAGTGAAATCTACAAATAAAAATTCTTCTGCCAAGTATCAGACTTAGTTGACTGTAAATAACATTGCTATACAGATTTTCGCATTTAGATATTTACCTGATACTGTTTCTGAAATTTTGTGACATTGTAGTTTTATGGAAATCTGAAATTATAAGTTTCCTGATGAAAACCTGTCCGTAAAAGAGATTTTCAAATCAAATTGAGAGGTTGTTTATTAACATGTTTATTTAATTGGATTAAGACTGTTTTCAGGTGTCTTTAAGGTTCATGACAACAATAATGATGAATTTCAGGTGCTCTTTCTCCCATAACATTTATATAAAAGGGGAAACTAATGTGTGGTTATATGTAACCATTACCTGGAGGTGTTCCAAATGACCCCAGGAGTAGATAAACATATAAAGATTATGGTAGAAATGTGCATTTACTGATAATATAGGTTTATTTCTTATGTTCAGAGTCCTTTTCATATATCGGTTATACATTATTCCTCATCTGAGCCTTTGATTCACTTTTAACCAGCACCAGGCAGCTGAAATAGTTTCCAATGGCTTGGCTGGAATCATGAAATTTGTCCTACACTAACTTTTAATTGCTTGTGTAAAGTTTTCCTTCTGTCGCTAACCATCCTTGATGTGATTGAGATGCAGGAAAATTTGACCCTCTAGGATAAACCGCCTAGTACAAGTTTTGCCTGTCTTTGTCCCGACACTCCATGGTCAGTACTGACCTATGCCCTCTAGGTCATTGGTTTTAAAGGTCACCCTATCCAGCATAAACACTTGTCTGGAGGTTCTCATTCCAGCATAATGCGTAAATTGGTGCAAGTTTTTAACTCATGTTTTCAGTTTGAAGCTAACATTTATTAATTATGTTAAATAGCCATAGGTGTTGAGATTATATTTTTAAGTGCAAATTAGTTTGTTTGATACCTGTACTTCATTTTTTTTATAACGCACATATATAATATATTAATTTGTGTTCTGTAGCATCTTACACATTTATATTTACATTGATCATTCATTGTCTTATTGTTTATGATATAGATAAAACATTTTATACTTTGAATACACTTTTGATTTATATTATATTCTAATCTACCTGTTTTTAGAGAATGATTTATTTTTCAATCAAGAAACATGAAGAAAATGAAGAAAAATGTCAATTAATGACCCATTTTTTGAACAATTTAACCTATACAATGTCGATCAGCATCGTTCAGAGCTGACGGTCTCACATTGATTCATCAAGACATTCAAAGCACTTCAGAGGTGTGAAAGTTCTGTCATAAGAATACCTAACTCATTTATCCCAAAAGACACATTTGAACTCTACCAATTCAAAGTTTGGGATAGTTCATTATGAAATTTTAGGGGTGAATGAGTTGTTGAAGCCTTTTAGTTTTTGAAAGGCTGTACATTTATTGATATACAAGTGTAGGGATGTTACGAATTATAGTTTCATTGTTTGGTGAATGGAAATATGTGGGTGTAGCCCTCCCTTATCTTACTGCTTGTGTTGTAGTTTTAACAGCAGAATGTTGTATTGGTGACTTCCTCTTTCCTTGCTCTCTTTTGAAAAGAGACTTTAGAGGTATGGACTTAAAATACATTTTTGTATGCTTTTATATAGATCTGTTTCACCCATATATTTTCAATTTTGATGAGATTTTGTATGATTCGGGATATATATATATATGATATAATGAATAATAAAAGTATACTTGCTGATAAAAGGCGCTTTTATTTGTTGCTTGCTAGTTTTTACTTCTATCCGACAATTTTTATACGCCCGTCGAAGACGGGGACGTATTATGTTATCACGTGAGCGGGCGGGCGGGTGGGCGGGTGGGCGGGCAAGCAAACGATGTCCGCTCGATATCTCGAGTAATTATTAACGGATTAACTCCAAACTTCACAACAAGGTTAATTACCATGAAACAACGGACAAGTTCGATAACCGCCATTATCCGACCATAATTTCTGGAGTTATGCCCCTTTACTTGCTGAAACAGTGTCCGCTCGATATCTCGGGTAATTATTAACGGATTAACTTCAAACTTCACAACAAGGTTAATTACCATGAAACAACGGACAAGTTCGATAACCGCCATTATCCGACCATAATTTCTGGAGTTATGCCCCTTTATGGACTTGCCGAAACAGTGTCCGCTCGATATCTCGAGTAATTATTAACGGATTAACTTAAAACTTCACAACAAGGTTAATTACCATGAAAGCTTGGACAAGTTTGATAACTGCCATTATCCGACCATAATTTGTGGAGTTATGCCCCTTTATGGACTTGCCGAAACAGTGTCCGCTCGATATCTCGAGTAATTATTAACGGATTAACTTCAAACTTCACAACAAGGTTAATTACCATGAAACAACGGACAAGTTCGATAACCGCCATTATCCGACCATAATTTCTGGAGTTATGCCCCTTTACTTGCTGAAACAGTGTCCGCTCGATATCTCGGGTAATTATTAACGGATTAACTTCAAACTTCACAACAAGTTTAATTACCATGAAACCTCGGACAAGTTCGATAACCGCCATTATCCGACCATAATTACTGGAGTTATTACCCTTGGTTTCATTAATGCGATGCATGCGTTCCATGATGTTGTATTGCACTCATTGATCTACCAGTTATGTTGAATGATTTCTCTTTTAATATCAAATACTCACAAATACTTCATATATTTCAATCATACAAACAACTGCTCATTCAATGTGTGACGGGCGTATTATATACCGCTCGCGGTAACCTTGTTCTCAATAAATCTGTACATTTATCAATTTAATCAGGGCTCTACTGTACATTATGCATACAGCAGAACACTTGTATATTGTGTAGGTTTTGCTAGTCTTCAACCTTTACAGTCTGTCAGTCAGTCCTTCATTATGCCACTCTATCCCTTTGTCTGGGCCTATCTCATGAACTCTTTGTCACCTACAAGTACTAAATTTTGTATGTGATATGGCAGTGTCACCCAATGAAATTTGGTTCTGAACACCTAAATATACAGATTTACGCCCCTTTGTTCACTGAATGTCATTTTATTCATGGCATGCCTCATATGCTGTCGCCTATTATTGCCAATATTTGAATGCGAGTATCACTGGAATTGTAACTTGAGTATCATTATCAGCAGAGTTACCACTGTTTGTTCATTTTGAGCTCGATTGACCAGCAAGGCAAGATGAAGCTTCTGTCATTGTGTGGCAGCCTGGTCTATCCATCGCCCATCAACTTTTCCTTTAAAATACCTCTTGTAAAGAATGGCTCAGTGAAGTTGTCTAAATTTGGTCTAGAGCATTGTTATGTGTTTGGTCAAGGAGACTCAATGGTATATAAATGGAGAGGGAGGCAAATGGGTAGGGTCCAATAAGGGAAGTGGGGGTGAATATTAATTGTTCTCGTGTATAAAAGGATTTAACCAAGTTAGATCTGGACCATTCTTTTTAAAATGTGATTAATTGATACATAAACTGAGGGATAAGGCACAGGAGTGTGGCAAAATAGAAGTGAATAGTCTTTCTACCATACAAATGACGGGATTTTTACCAAGTTGGCATTGGATCTGGGTCCAAAGATACTCGAAAATGGCAAAAATGACATAATTAAAACTGATCCTCAGTCCCCTCATCCTCAATACTCTAGCGGATACGCTCCTTTTTGCTCTCTGCACCCCTGAAATATGTCAGCAAAACCGAAGGCTCAGTGTGGGCTACCTTGTTGATGGAGCAAGAAGACTAGTTTGATCATTTGATGTACATCAAAAGAATCTAACGGTAAGAGCGGCTTTGCAATCGGTTGTCGTTTCTCTGTAATCTCTTAAGGACAGGTATCAGCCTGGTCATTGGTCAGGTTTACGATTCGTTAAGCCCCGCCCACCGTTCTTAAGCCACTTCCAGTTTGGATCAAAACTCACAATTAAATGGTTTTAGTCCAAATTTTATTCTTCAAAAGTAGAATTTTAACACGATTTCTTAAGCCCCGCCCCGACTCTAACAAAAACAACATTAAGTTCTTGCATGTTTATTGGATGTTGAATGGGCTGCAAGTGGCAAATATATTGTACTGTTAAATCCAAAACCACAAACGAGACATTTCTCTTGTACGAATACAGCACAGTGTAGGTATTTTACACAGTAATATGTTTTCAATGTGTTCAAAAATATGACCTACCGGCCTCGTTCACCACTATATCCACTCAAAACTGCATACTGTTCTCTAGTCGCCAAGAACCATCAACATTTTGTTGTGTCCTGGATTGGAGCAACATCACATTTTTCAAAAACACCATTGCATCCCTCATAATAGTCCGAATGTTTGGGTTTGATCGCCAGGCAGATAAAACAAAAGTCTGTTTTACACCTAGAGCACTTCATGCGTTTACAGTTGCTGTCATGGTGGATCATGAAGTGACACGAAGGGCATGCCCGCGTAGAAGGACACCTAGCGCCATCTATCTCTTTCCACTTACACTCCTTCAATATTGTTATTATTCTCTTTCGGCTTTGGCGACACTGTTTCCTTGAACAGTTAGCAGCATCATCTCTTCCTTTCCATACTTAGAGACAAGTGTTACAATACTTGGATTTCCTATTTTCTCTTTGACAATAAATGCACGCAAACCATTTCCTCCTTTTCGATTCGTCTTCAATATATTCAAAGCATGAGGGGCATTTGTGCACATTTTCTCGCTCCTCCAAAAAGACGTTTGAAAGCAGATGCTCAAACAGATTGCGTTCATCGGAAGTGAGACAAGCTTTCAGGTGAATCTCCACGAAGCCCCATTCTCTTCCACAGCGCACCACTGGACACACGAAAGCCAGTTCCCGGGTATTTATTATGTTTCTTCAATATCCATATAAATTGTCGGGAGCTGAGAAACAGAACAAAAAGTGTTTTAATAATATTCAATTAAATCGCCGATATATTGAAAACAGTGTGTAAATTACCTAAGGTTTGTGTATTTGATAGTGCATGAGGTTGACCACAACTATGTATACGATTAATACGATGTAAAATAGAGCTCTATTTAAGAGTATGGAATTACCAATCATTCGTACCTACACTCATACGTGATCAATAGGAACTATTGTTGATCATTCTATAATATATGTCATATATCTAAAGCCAACAAAAGAACCAATTATATGTATACAATAACTCGAACAACTCGAGATTTTAGATTTGCTATAGACAAGAAATGATATAGTGTACCGTTTGTGATTGTAATATCATTTTATTTTTGTCAATGTAATTAGGCAAGCACATTTACTTGCACCTTAAGCAATGGATGAATCATTTCAAAGAATTGTAACAAATTTTTGAAATGTACTCAGAATAAGACAAAGCAGGAATTTAATATTTGTTCAGTGGCATTGAATAGCAATATAAAACCCCAAATTACTGAATTCCATTTAACAGCATTATAAATGTCATATATTTTAAAAGTTGTGACCCTAATAATTTGTTCCAGACGAGAATGGGAGGAAAACTTACCATAAATCATCTTCTGTGGTATGCTCTATTGACGAATGGAATCATTTTTAACATCCACAGTTCTAATATTGGTAAATACGTTTCATAACATCTTTCAAAACATTTCTTTGATGTTGTACAATGATGAAATAATGATAGACAACTAGTGTTAATAATCAGGACGGGAATAACGAAAACTTAGCATCGCGAAGCACACTTAAATATGGCTGTCTGCCTTACCTTTTGAATATATCAAAGAGCGCGGACTGAATTGTACGAAATATCAGATTATTTTTACATTTTAATCTTCTTCTTCAAAACTACTGGGCCAATTTTGACCACACTTGACATGACTGAATTGTACGAAATATCAGATTCTTTCAATTTTTCTATTTTCAAATATTATAAATGCCCAATAAAAGTATGGATTTTACATTGTGAGCATAGATATTAATCATGCCTTAATTTTTGTCTCGAAATCGTGAACTTACTCGTTGCATGTCCACACGACATCTTAACACGTACTGCGGAATCCGGATATGGATCCATGGCGTCGGGGTCAGATGTCTGGAATTCCTCAGGCGGAATACGCGGAGAAGGTGTCTGAATGGTGAACAGCTTTACTGGGTACACAACATCACCAAGAGTGTCTGCCAATGTGGCCGTCTGCTTACCGGCTTCTATCAGATTGGCTCCCCTGTAGAGGGTGACATCGCCACCCCACATTAGTTTTGTTTTCAAAGCTCGCGTTACCTCTTCCATGGAGCTTTCCTGAATTAGAATAGTTTCGTATATACTTTGTGCGTTTTGATTTTAATTTACAGCGGTTGCATCCGATTTTATATAATAAATGATACATTATAGACTAACATGTTGAGAAGAGTGTATTCCGTCTTTGCGTATTGCAGAGTTATCTTCTCTTGGGAGCAGGTATTGATTGTTACGTCCCCTGTTTGTGAGAGAAACGTCATCATTTTTTGATAAAACGACGTAATTTTCTCACACAGACAAATGACGTAACAATCAATACCTGCTCCAAAGAGAGGATAACTCTGCAATACGCAAAGACGGAATTGGTAGAGGGAAACTAACATGATACCAAAATGATATATTATTCGTATAAATTTGTCCGTGTAAAATAGAATTTTCCCACAATGTTTAAGCAATGTAAGATTAGTCTTTTCCTACACTTCTCATGTAAACTCACGTTTAAGTTTTCAAGGCAGATCACACGCACTATTATTCTGAGAACGTCATCATCGCGTCATCATTTTATGCAGTGTAACCAGGTAGCGTCATAAATTTTATCACATTTATGCGTCGTTGCTGATGAAGCGGTGCATTGGCTTCACCAGTTAAGCTTAAACTGAACTCCAAGTTCTACTTTACTATGAAAGCGTTCAGTTTAGAAAATCTATTAAACTTAGGACTATCAGATTGTCAATATGATGATGTTGACACTCAAAATACGTCAATGCACAGCCCTCTTGACTACCTACCTTACCAACCGCACAAATCGGATGTGTGTGATGGAACCTCCAAAATTCCACTCTTCCTTTTGTGTCATTTCCGGGACTTTTTGGCAGTAGGGGTGGTAGCCATTGACGGATTGATCCTTTCACCAAGTCAAGTTTTCTGTCTGATTCTGAATTAATTTCATCGTGCAATGGTTTGAGCATCAATGCTTTCCCTTGTGGTACCTTAATGGGTCTTTTGTGTTTTTTGTGACGCCGTTTTACACGAGGTAAGCTTTCAATTGCTTCCAGTTTGTCGTTTTCACTTGTTTTGAAGTTGCCCACCTCTGACGTATGATCCGGGACCAGAGCAGGTATGGCCATGGTGTTTTCCAGCTCATTATCATACCTTGTCTTCTCCATTGTAGTCCTAGTGGTTGGTCCCTTTCCCCCTTGAAATTTTTCTTCTTGTTGATCTTCGAGCCATTTTAAGCAGGCTATTGATGTCTGAGGACGAACAGTCCGCCTGCTTGTGGTATCATGAACATTATTGCTTGAATCTCTAACTTGAACACCTCTCCGTAAAGGTGTGCAGTCATTAACATACGAGCCACTGATTAACAATTGGCGGCCGCTGCTGGGATATGACATGTTGTTTTTCAGCACATTATCATACCTTGTCTTCTCCATTCTTGTCCTAGTGGTTGGTCCCTTTCCCCCTTGACATCTTTCTTCTGAATTATCCTCGAACCATTTTAAACAGTATCTTGATGTCTGAGGACGAACAGTCCGCCTGCTTGTGGTATCATGAACATTATTGCTTGAATCTCTAACTTGAACACCTCTCCGTAAAGGTCTGAAGTCATTAAAATACGCGCCACTGACTGTCAATTTGCGGCTGCTGCTGGGATATGCCTTTGCTATATTGGGTCTTATTGGTAAACTTCTTAAAACAGCTTCCTTCGAAAAGGTTTCAGGTGGTCTTCTAACAAATGATTCATTCAAAAAGTTTTCAAACTCTTCTTCGTCATCAATTATCCTTATATCTCCCGATTCACTGTAATCATCACCAAGATCATCTGATGATTTCATAAAATTGGCCAAACCCTGTTCGTTTTCTATTTGTCCACCGCTGGCTAGGTAGCCACCCTTTAAATACTTCCTTTCCGCCATATGATTGTGTACCTTCTATGAACAAATCTGTGGGGGAGCAAAAAAATATTGTTAACAACACATGATCTTTTCAATATATGAATGTACTACGATACCATCAGTGACACCTTTTAAAAACACGTTGATGTATTACTTTAAGTATACATGTTTTATTTATAGCAGTCTACGTATAAAACGATGCACGGAAGGCTTGCAGTTCTTGCTACACTATTCGTTCAACGAATATTTTATGCTGCATAATTAATATCGAATCAGATATAACGATGGTATATATATATAATATTCATGTTTATTAACTGCACCGGGAAGGGAACGACACACTTTCATAATAGGATTCGTGGAAGGTATATAAAGCTACCTCGTCTCTCTGTGATATCTCTGTGAAAACATCCTACAGTATTACAAGTAAACATCAATATAAATAACATACCCTATACAAGCCATGTCTTCGTATCGAAATGGACAGTTCCCTAAAACATGTATTTTGTTAAATGTGTTTATCACGAACTTACATAGGATTCCAACTGCTGACTGTCCCTTGTTAACCAGGAAAGAGCTAGCGTGAAGTCTTATAATAATTATCTTTGTCGAAATCTCTCTCTTCAACTCACCTGACAGTTCGATATGTATATATGGGCGCCATATATTGACTAACACGGAATGAAATATTGAGCTGTACTTATATATAGTATATAAATACCGAGTATATCTTCCTGGTTGTAAAGTACGACATCGCTTCTTTTGTCTGATAAACATACTGATAAATTGTACCAGATCATGAATAGATGCTTTAGCTTTTTCTATAAGACTTTATGAGACAGAACGATCAAATGCATACATTAAGCTATTCAAGTAGTGACAAAAAGATATTGCTATTTGTTTACATTGTGACTGTAACTACGTGAGCAGCGGGTACACAACTCATTGATCTGTTGAGGTATTTTGGCTTAGCTTGTACTAGTACTATATCGGTAAATTCTCTTTCCCTTAATTTACTTTTAAACTAGGAAGAGAACAGCAAGCGGGAGAGTTCTATCTCCAAATTACAAAAGCTTGCGTGAAGTCTTATTATTATTATTTTTTGTCGAAATCTCTCTCTTCAACCTACCCGGCAGTTCGATATGTATGGGCGCCATGTATTGATAAAGACAGAATGAAATAATGAGCTGTACTTATATATAGCATATACGTACCGAGTATATCTTCCTGGTTGTAAAGTACGACATCGCTTCTTTTGTCTGAAAAACGTACAGATAAATTGTACCAGATCATGAATAGATGCTTTAGCTTTTTCTATAAGACTTTATGAGACAGAACGATCAAATGCATACATTAAGCTATTCACATAGTGACAAAAAGATATTGCTATTGTGTTTACATTCCTTGTAACTGTAACTACGTAAGCAGCGGGTATCACAGCTCATTGATCTGTTGAGGTATTTTGGCTTAGCTTGTACTAGTACTATATCGGTAAATTTCTCTTTTTTCTTTAATTAACTGTTAAACAAAGCAAGAGAACAGCAAGCGGGAGAGTTCTATCCCCATATTACAATTACTTAAAAGGAACTCGTATTATGCTGATAAAACTGCAGATACATTACAACGTGGACATACATATTGGATAAATGTAGTGCGATACAATGAAATCTAATGTTCATCCTGGCTTGAGCCAATATGCTGCACTCTCTTTCCTAGTCTTCGATCTCAACGTCTCTTTCATGGTCTCTCTGTCAAGAAGCACAACGGATCTGACCACTGGCCTCTGAAAGGGTTCTGTACTTGTCTATAACAGGTAAGGTTTGTGAGATGTAATAACTAACTGTTCGGACGTCACAAAATAATGTTTCTATAAACGTACTCATTTAAAAGCATTCTTATTTTAGCACATGATCGAATATAAATACATGAGTGCATTGATAAATTGGCGTACTCACAATTTATGCCATATAAAACTGTACATAGGAACTTAAATGTAATAACCGTTAAATATATACTTAATTGAAAAGAGAACATAATAATACAAATCGATCACGCATTATGATTATGATCATAGAAAAGTACTGTATATATATTAAAAGCATAATTATATTATTATTTAAAAACTACATTTTTGTTTTAGTCTTTGTACTGATGGTTGTATGGAGTATGTAGATTACAAGACAAGCACGATTTTGATATACTCCATCTGCATTTGACTCATACCTGTCCGCGCAGTCAACAGTGCCCAACAAATGATTTGACCAGACTTGGACATCTTGGTAAGTATTTACAATATGTAAATGATAAACATGCATTATTGTACGTAAATGTAATATATTCATAGTACATCATAAAACGTAAGTATATAGGTATGATATATATATGGGGCAAAGAAGTAATTCCAACAGTGTGGACAAGTTGAGGTTGTCAAATTTTCGGAGCGATCCGCTCCTTTTATGGTATGATATATATATATATATATTTACTTATGATCGATTTAATGTGTTGCATAATAAACATGATTATTAGTTAATAATAAAAAGTCTTATCTCACAGAATAATACGTATCAGATAGTAAGAGTTATACATGTAACATCTATAAAGTTACACTCGACTCGTAATCAGTTTAGTTGTCATCGTTTTTTTTACACTTTTACACTCACCTTAAATTTCGGTTTCGTTGTGGACTCTTTGGTTACACTCACCTTAAATTTCAGTTGAGCTGTACAAATCTCTTAACACTCACACAAATATCGTATCGGATCGTTACCTGACGAATTCGGTCAGATTTGTAATAATCAGAATTCGCGATCGAGAAATATAATGATTCGTTCGCGAAGAGGTGTCCATCTTTAGATTAATATGTTATGAATGCTTAAACAATATAGCTTGAATTCTACATAGGAAAACAATTAGACCAAATATCTAAAATGAGAACCTGACAAACAATTCAAAATTATTATTTTAGACATAGCCAGGTTTTAAATAATAAGAAATTACCTGTAGATGTGGAGTAGAAATGGTGTCCGTACGCTAGTCCATTATTATTACAGCAGTAGAACTGGGCCTTCTGAATGCCATATCTCACACAAGTGTTCTGTATGTAACAGCCATCAAAAAAAGCTGAAAACACCATCACTATATAATTATTTATGAATTAGACTACTCCGTAGTTGAACATGTAAGTTAATAAAAATTGCATCTTGAATAAGGTTCTTTCCTTTCTATTTTTACAGAACAAGATATGTTCAATGGTAGTGGAAGCAAATAATTTCATTAAATGTTGCTGACCTCAGAAATTTACATGACAAAAAAATTACTCTTCTATAGATACAAATTGATTGAAGTTGTGGAAAATGAAAGTTAGAATTGCTTAACATAAACGATATGTTAGTTTAATCAATCAATTCAACAGTGAGTTTGAATATATTTTGAAAGGAAGATGTTTTAAAATACCCGTGTCCTCTGACAATAGATTAATGCAAGAAAGAACATTTCTAAACATTTTCTTCAGGTTGGTATGCATGGTTGTGAACGGATTCATGTAGCAAAGTGTTTATATGTGACGTTTCGATGACTAGAACGGTATGTACTCTTTCACTTTCATCAGACAAAAAACAAGGAAGAACACATTTAACATCGCTGTCGTGCCCTCTAAATAGTATATCCAACAATTTCCCAAAGGGATATTTACATATCTTTGTATACCATTGATAAGATGGTTGTCATTTTGTTTATATCTTTGTGCAATGTAGAAGAGACCCCAAAGCAAACCCGAGGACGATATTTCAGGAAGAATGAATATATTTCCAGAATAATGAACGTGTACACTAGATTCCAAACAATTTCATACACCGGGTGCATTCACTCTAACTGAATGCCTTTAATCTAATATATTATCCCATGTGAGTGTGAGCTAACTAGTTCATTAATTTTGAGTCTAATCCAATGAAGTTCTAACGCCGAGTATATGTATGTTGATTGAATAACAATAGTTAAATAATCTCTAGAAATACAAAGAACATACTTGAAAAGTGTGTTTGTAGATACTGATGGCCAATCGAAGTAAACATTGAACCATGACGTCATCCAGTAAGGATTCATCGGCGATAGTGAAGGGAAAACAAAATATGAAAAAATACATGATCCAAAACATATGTAGAATACAACGAAATGTGAATACAAAACCCTTTATAGTGTTACAAATAAACAACGTTAGGCTATAACACATTGTACTAATATATATACATGAACTAGTCCAATAAGATTCTTATGTGTTTTTAGAAAGCCAATCAAAATTCGTACCCTTAGTGCGTGTAAGATTAAGGACTGGACATTTTTCTCCGTCTATCAACACGTCGCCCTTCATTTCTATAGCCTCATGATCTTTCTCTTGCATATTAAGCTCCAACGTTGTGAGGTCCCTCCCTCCTATGTACTTCGGCACCAACGTTTGGCCTTGAAGGGTCAGTATTTTGAAAGAACTGGCACACGTTCCAGAGAGTGGAATGACAAATGATTGGATTGTGATATCCCCTACTGTAGTGATAAGGCCATTTGAGTGAGTCACGTTAAGTACAAAGCTCTGTGATGTTTCCCCGGGACATCGGTACTGACCTTCCCATACACTGGGTACAAACTCTGTCCTGTCTGGGTACAAACACATAAAATCATAATCGAAAAAATAAAATACGTGAAATAGCACATAAATTCTTTCTTAAAAAACATTCATTTAAATCGAAGCCTCTTTTACATATGAGAGAGTGGTCTTCAGTCAGTGTATAAGTGTTAGTGACACGTGTCAGTGTATAAATGTGAGTGACACGTGTCTGTGTAGAAGTGTTAGTGACATGTGTCTGTGTATAAGTGTTAGTGACATGTGTCTGTGTATAAGTGTTAGTGACACGTGTCAGTGTATAAGTGTCAGTGACATGTGTCTGTGTATAAGTGTTAGTGACATGTGTCTGTGTATAAGTGTAAGTGGCATGCGTCCGTGTTTAAGTGTAAGTGACAAGTGTCCGTGTATAAGTTTAGTGACACGTGTCCGTGTATAAGTGTTTGCGACACGTGTCCATGTATAAGTGTTAGTGAAAAGTGTCCGTGTATAAGTGTTGGTGACATGTGTCCGTGTATAAGTGTTAGTGACACGTGTCCGTGTATAAGTGTTAGTGGCACGTGTCTGTGTATAAGTGATAGTGGCATGTGTCCGTGTATAAGTGTAAGTGGCATGTGTCCGTGTATAAGTGTAAGTGTGCATGTGTCAGTGTATAAGTGTAAGTGTTCATGTGTCAATGTATAAGTGTAAGTGTGCATGTGTCAGTGTATGCGAGTGTAACTGTTCATGTGTCAGTGTAAAAGTGTAACTGTTCATGTGTCAGTGTATAAGTGTAAGTCTGCATGCGTCAGTGGATAAATTGTGTTGCAATTATTTATGACATGCTGTCAGGTTAGAAATTGTAGCATTTAATTCTTAAAAAAGAAGCACAATTTAGATTTTTTTACATTTGAGATGTTGTTGCAATATCCATCATTTCATGTGTCAATAGTTTCTGTTTCTAAGGCTCTGCTGATTTATTTAAAGGAAAATAAAGGAAAAAAAAACATTTTTACAGTAGCACAGTTACATCGGATGATATATATTACGTCATTAGCATACACATATATGTATATCGTGCATGCTGGCCATAAGGCTAAAACCAAGTGTTGATCAAAAGTTTAGTTGCTGCCCCTCCCCCGTCCTCCAAAAAAATAAGCCAAATTCTCATTTCATTATACTTAACCTTGTTCTTGAACCCCTAAATATCAATGCAAATGTTTTATTTTACACGGGAAAATAATTTCCAGTCCCATTTTCTTTCCGTCGATTTAACCATTTAGCTTTTTATATAACTATGTCAGACAACCCCGGAATGTACTGCTGTCGCGTATTAAAGGGTATATAGTTATGAATTTCCGAATACACCGGGACAGCCGATATATATCAGCAGTTTCTTACTTCAGCGTCATAGTTTTCTTATATATGTGTGCCAACATGTACAATGTCGTCATCAAATATATAATGAACAATAAACAATAAGTAAAATGTTCACTTAATCAAGCAAGTTCAATTTTAGAATAAGGCATATCAATTGATTATAAACTAGTAATCTTAAGATACATAAAAGTTACCAAACAGCCTACATTCAAATAATTAATTTACAAAACATCAAATTAACATCTATAAAAATGATAATGAAAAATGATAAATACGTAAAAGATATAAAGTAATATACAACTTGTTAACAGAGGTTTATTAGTTATTTAAATCAACATGGACATGGCCTGTAGTCTATAGATCAACGGACAAAAACTGTCGCAAGAATGGCAGCCTTCTTCCATCTGCCTGTGCCATTAACCGAGGAATGGTTCTTTCGAGACCATTTTCAAACAAAAGGGCAAAGCTCTATAAATGGGGAGGTATCTCCAACTTTTGCACATTATTCAAAGCATCTCAGCGCAAATGTCACATGTACTTTGTATCATTCAAATGTGACCGACAAGTATAAACAAAGTTTCATAACTCCATCAAAAGTGTAGGTAACACAAATTAACATATGTTTTTGACATCCCTTTAATGAAACGTTCTTCGTGCCGAGGGTAATTCAAATTCGTGCAATGCTTTGGGAGGAGTAGAGCGAACAATGTTTGAACATCAAGGTTCTTGAAAACCGGCTGAAAACTGATGTTGCGGAAACAAGATTATCTTGGCTAACCTTTGTAAAAAGGGACATTACTTAAAAAAAAGATCAGACCGAAATATTTATCACAGACGACAAATTCAGAGAGTGTTGATAACATCACTGAAATTCGTTTTTAAACTGTATAGTAGGAGTTGTCCGGACAAATTGTGTCGACAGACAGACAGACAGACAGACAGACAGCCAAATTCCTGGATACTATAAGAACGTGGTCTTTTTTATGTCTTTATTTAGATCAATAATGAACACAGTCTGAAAATACATAAATGAGAAATACTCAGATATTTACCAAATGATGTGTTGTATTTTCAGACTGTGTTCATTGTTGATCTAAATAAAGACATACAAAAAGACCACATTCTTATATGAACACAGTAATAATAATATGCTTTAAACAGGCTAGTGTTAGTGTTTCCTCAAATGACTCTATTTAGATCACAAATGGCGACTTTCTATCAAAGGGGAGTAACTCTGAAATGTCTAAGTATCAGTCACGACTATAAAGGGAAGTTACTATTTAAATACCACTGNCCCCCCCCCTAATTTCATGTGCAATGTAGCAATATTATTTCAATGTGCTGTACCTTGATATACACTGCAGTCTGCTGGGCCTCCTTGTATTGTGACCTCACAGTTGTCTCCCTTCCAGCCAGCGTTGCACACCTTGCGTCCCTTGTTGTCACATGTGTAATGGCCGTTACATGCATTGTCTGCCACACAGTTGATGGAGCAGTCATCGCCATAGTAATGAGGATCACAGTACACCTTTACCTTCAATGACAGACTGTAAATTGATGTAACCATTAATACTATGGTGCACATATACGAAGATCTTTATCATTAATTAAAAGCTACAAATAAATATAATGCAGGGAACAGGATCAGCTCCAATGCTAAGCTGCAAATACATTTTATAGTTTATCACTATCTATTACCTTAATGACAGATTGCAACTAGATATTATATATCAGCAACGCGTCGGCACTGCTATGGGCAGTTCAGTGAATCTCATAAAGGACAATATTTATGGAACATCTGGAGCAATAGCATTTGCCCCAATGGATAACAAGTCTATTTGCTGAAGCATCAAATTTACATTTGAGGAAGAGGTCAATGGCGTGATGCTCATTCTTGACGCCCTTATAGTAAAGAAAGATGATGCAAGGTTGTATGAACTTCGGAACTCCAGAACCTTTGCAACAGATGTTTGGCGTAGTCACACATTCCTTAATATATTGTGAACGATTACGAAGGCCTTTCAATGAATTCTGTAACCACACAGCTCCCGCACGAACGGGCAATAAAATACTTAAGCGCCTTGGCAGACTGCAAAAGGATTTAAAGAGCCATGCACGTGTAAAATTGCGACATCATCCGACACGAGTTGACCAAACTATTAATTGTTGAATGGCATTCACTGGTGACTAGCTGAGTTTACTTTCCAAAAATGAAGGTTGAGACTAAATCTGAAATACGCTCCTAAGTCAAAGCGCGTAATGATTTACATATACCGCCAAAACAGATAAATCACAGTTGTGAAGCATAAAAGGCACCTCTGCTGTCATATTGAGAACTGTTTTCAGGTGAGTCAACACATTCAAGAAGGTAAAGTTGATATGAAAGAGAACGCGGCCAGGCTGGCCAGTTGTTGCAGGAAACATTAAAGAAGAACATTGCTGCTGTGAAAGCATGAATCAAGGACGATGGTTGATATACTGTTTCTAAGATAGCTCATCTGATTGGCATTTCAGAAGGCAGTACTTATCACATTCTGACCAAGTTCCTGAAGTAAAAGAAGATTTGTGTCCGACGGATCCCCTATTTGCTTGCAGCTGAACGAAAGGCCAAACGTTGAAATCTGCTAAAAAATATCGAAAAAATACGGTAAAAGCTATCTGAGTTATTGAGACCTATACTATGTCTATTACTTTGAACCACAGAGGCGCATTAATAACAAGTAATGCTTGTCGAGAAATCAAGAAGGCCAATGAACGCAAGACGTATAAAAAGCGCCAGGAAAATTTTGTATACCATTTTTTAAAATTCAAGTGGGTTATATTGTTCAGATACCGTGCATGGAAGGGACAATTATCACTGTCAAGTTTCACTGAGACAAAGTACTGCCAAAAGATTCTGTCAAGCCATCACAAAAGTCAAAAGTTATATAGTAAAGCGACTTATATATATTATCCTCAACGGATGTCTGACCTGGTGGGGTGCTGAGGTCGCTGACCATTAACCCTAATCTCAGATAATTAAACCTTCTGTTTAAGGATTAGATTTTAATCCTAATATTTGTGTCAGTTAGTTTTATTGAGTAGCTAAATTGAAAGTATAGAAAAACATTCAAATACCCTGTAAATTGACAATAAATTAACCCATTTATTTGGAATTAATGCCGACATATTCTTTCTGACCACTTGCAATTTCAATGTACTTTTCATTTTGGGGTCAATGTAGTATACGGTTGACGGAGTTAATCGATGAAACACTGTTAAAAGTTGATGGCATTATGTGGAATTAGAAACATTTATTACACACTTACTAATAAATACGTGTTTTTGTATATGCGATACGACACAATTGCTCTAACCCATATCAGCCCTCGCCGTACCACACCCCAAAACCCGTATCAGCCCTCTCCGTATCAGCCTGCAAAGCCCGTATCACACCCCTTTTGGAAATTTTTCGTTTTTAAATATATATCAAAAGTAAAATAGATCATAAGATTGTAGATAATTCCGTGTTTTATTAGTGATAATGAAATAAACAGAATAAAACATGCCTTTTTCCATATCACACACAGTATCAACCCTCGACCAGTATCAGCCCTCAGGCCTTCGGCTCCCGGGCTGATACTTGTGATGGTTGATACTGGATGTGATATGAAAAAAGGCATGCATTATTCTCTATGTATAAAACTGAAGGGAAAAGTAAATGTTAACAGTGTAATCTGACGAATTCGAATTTAAGGATCCCAACACCACTGCCAAAAACTGTAATTTACTACTGGAACTGTCTTTTCTGGCTTGATTATAGCTTTGATAAACCATTTATGAAAAAAAGTATACCTTGCGAGACTTTAATGAGAAATAATAAAGATGACATGAACAAAAGTTGATCGACAACAGTGTTGTTAGTATTAAAATTCAGCGGGATAGGCTGGGATTCGAACCCCGAGCTTCAGATTGTTATACTATCGCTCTAACGGATTGGGCTACCTTGTATAAGGAAGTGTCGTGACCGAAATATCCAAACGGAAGTTAAGGGGAGGCTACTGTATATGATACACCACAGAGCAGCGGTACGGTGATCCTTATGTCATGGCTTTGTGATATGAAAAGAAATCGTTCATCGTTTAATAGTAAACCAAATATCACGCTGATATGAATGGATTTGACCGTTTTGCTAGCCTAGTGTTCAGCCGGCCCATGAGTCTCGTTCCGGGTAAGGTCTGGAGTTGTTGAGAAAACATCCGATGTTATTACAAACCCTAATTAGGCCAAACAAAAATATTGGGTGTTTCCGGTAACCCTACCCCTCCCCTTATGTTTTATGCCTACCCTAAACCTTTTAAGACAATTTTCAACGAAGAAACTGTTATAGTCAAGTTGACTCTCCTATATAAACCATATACAATTACATATTAAAACAATACTTGTTACCAACCTGCCTACCCTTAAGTTTTCAAACATGTTACAGGAAACACATACTTGTCTGGCCTAATGTGTCTGTTATCTGAAATATCACCTATATTGATAACAATTTTAATTCCTGTGATTCTTGACAGAATCATGCAACATGCATGCAGAGTAGCCCCTGTGTATGGTGGGTAGACATTGCGTACCTTGAAAGTCCTTTTGTACCTTCGGAAACCGTTGTGTACCCTTAATACTCTTGTGTATTCTGTGTAAGATCACGATAACCTTGGGTAACCCCTTAGTACGGTGGGTTATCTTTGAATTTTGATTATATATTCACATTTATTACTGAACACGGTCATTTCGCACTCCCTCTCTCTAGCCCGAGTTTCCACCAGACTTAGACATTTTGACATATAGATGTCTGGTTTCCTCTGGTCCTTACACCAGACTTAGACATTTTAACATATAGATGTCTGGTATGTCAAAATGTCTAAGTCTGGTGTAGGGACCAGAGGAAACTCGGGCTATCACTCACACATGCATGGCAGTCATCTAGATACTATATATATATGTTAAATGCGCTACATATGCATGGCAGTCATCTAGATACTATATATATTATATATGTTAAATGCGCCACATATACATGGCAGTCATCTAGATACTATATATATATATGTTAAATGCGCTACATATGCATGGCAGTCATCTAGATACTATATATATGTTAAATGCGCTACATATGCATGGCAGTCATCTAGATACTATATATATATATATTAAATGCGCTACATATGCTTGGCAGTCATCTAGATACTATATATATATGTTAAATGCGCTACATATGCATGGCAGTCATCTAGATACTATATATATTATATATGTTAAATGCGCCACATATACATGGCAGTCATCTAGATACTATATATATATATGTTAAATGCGCTACATATGCATGGCAGTCATCTAGATACTATATATATATATATATGAAATGCGCTACATATGCATGGCAGTCATCTAGATACTATATATATATGTTAAATGCGCTACATATGCATGGCAGTCATCTAGATACTATATATATATATATATTAAATGCGCTACATATGCATGGCAGTCATCTAGATACTATATATATATGTTAAATGCGCTACATATGCATGGCAGTCATCTAGATACTATATATATATGTTAAATGCGCTACATATGCATGGCAGTCATCTAGATACTATATATATATGTTAAATGCGCTACATATGCATGGCAGTCATCTAGATACTATATATATATGTTAAATGCGCTACATATGCATGGCAGTCATCTAGATACTATATATATATATTAAATGCGCTACATATGCATGGCAGTCATCTAGATACTATATATATATGTTAAATGCGCTACATATGCATGGCAGTCATCTAGATACTATATATATATATTAAATGCGCTACATATGCTTGGCAGTCATCTAGATACTATATATATATGTTAAATGCGCTACATATGCATGGCAGTCATCTAGATACTATATATATATATATATGTTTAATGCGCTACATATGCATGGCAGTCATCTAGATACTATATATATATATATATTAAATGCGCTACATATGCATGGCAGTCATCTAGATACTATATATATATGTTAAATGCGCTACATATGCATGGCAGTCATCTAGATACTATATATATATATATATGTTTGATGCGCTACATATGCATGGCAGTCATCTAGATACTATATATATATGTTAAATGAGCTACATATGCATGGCAGTCATCTAGATACTATATATATATATATTAAATGCGCTACATATGCATGGCAGTCATCTAGATACTATATATATATGTTAAATGCGCTACATATGCATGGCAGTCATCTAGATACTATATATATATATATATATTAAATGCGCTACATATGCATGGCAGTCATCTAGATACTATATATATATATGTTAAATGCGCTACATATGCATGGCAGTCATCTGGATACTATATATATATGTTAAATGCGCTACATATGCATACTCACCGTCCATGTATCAAAACTGAACAAAGATGCTTTGCCAGCAGTAAAAGAGATTTCATTCTCGTTATCATGGGCATTAAAATCTTCTCTCCCAAACTGACATCCGCCTCCTGTTAAACTCGTACTAAAACAGAAACGAACCGGGTGAAATTTGTAGAACTGACAATTGGATTGATTTGAAAGTATTGTACTTCATCAGTTTGTAAATAAAAAGTAAACTTATTAAAGTCAAGTTAATAAAAAAATGACCATATCTGAAGTACCCTTCTCGATTTTTCCATTTTTCTTAGGTTGAAATATTGCCCCGTTTTTACATTTCGTAATTTGATACGGAATGATGGGAAATAATAAAAGTTTTATCATAGAAAGTAAACAAGGACAGGTAAATCATCTAACGTAAATATGCCAGACTTTAATAAACGGTAAATATGTCAGGAAAATCATATACAGTAATGGGGCCAAATTCTTTACAGTAAATATGCCAGGAAAATCATGTACAGTAAAAAGGCCATATTTTTTTTATATAAATTAAATAAGCCAGGACATTCATATACAGTGAAAAGTCAGCATTTATAATATATAGTAAATATGTCGAGAAAATCGTATACAGTAAATAAATATGCCAGATTTTTAATAAATATATATATATATTTTTAATTTTCAATTTTGAAAAGTAATTTAACGTAAATATGCCAGATTTATAATAGATATTAAATATGCCAGATTTATAATATAAAGTAAATATGCCAGATTTATAATATATAGTAAATATGCCAGATTTATAATATAAAGTAAATATGCAAGATTTATAATATATAGTAAATATGTCGAGAAAATCATATAAAGTAAATATGCCAGACTTATAATATTAAGTAAATATGCCAGATTTATAATATTAAGCAAATATGCCAGATTTATAATATATAGTAAATATGTCTAGAAAATCATATAAAGTAAATATGCCAGATTTATAATATAAAGTAAATATGTCGAGAAAATTATATGCAGTATTTGCCAGATTAATAATATAAAATAAATATGTCAGGAAAACCGTATACAGTAAATAGACAAGATTAATAATCTATAGTAAATATGTCAGGAAAATCAAATAAATGGGCAAGATGCATGATATACACGTGTAGCTAAAACGCCAGGAAAATTATATACAGGAAATAGGCCAGTTGTATTAAGTTTTATTACATATATTAATAAATAGGGTATATACCAGTAGGAATGACGCATAACATGTTATAGGTGTTGGTTACCTGGGGTGTTCTCCAGCACAGACAGTGAAGTGGTGGTCACATTGTTCCAATGGACACATAGGTATATTGACCCCATCACAACATTGACCGTTAATGTCAAGTCCCTGCTTGTTGTGAAAGTCCACCAACTGTACAGCCAGCTTCCCTTTGCTCTCAATGACAACTGTCTATACAAAATATTATGGTATGTCATATGATGTAAACCACTCACTACAGTGTACAATACAAAAGGTATCATCAGTTCCTCATGGGTGCAATAAAACATTATTACATTTTTTTACCAGTGAAAAAATAGAAAACATGAATTTGATACAGCAAATCTTATATTTTCTTTGTGTGAAATGTTACGTTTTCACATTTGAATGTTATACCTTCACACGTGAATGTTATATCATCACATGATTCTGTTTTATCTTCACACGTGAATGTTATATCATCACATGATACTGTTTTATCTGTGAATGGTTTATTTTCACACGTAAACTTTATATCTTCACATTTGAATATTATATCGACAACGTAAATGTTATACTTCACAAGTGAATGTTTCTTTTTCACACATGAATGTTACATCGACAATGTGAATGATATATCTTCACATGTATATTTTTACATTTGAATGTCATACCTTCACATGTGAATTTTATATTTTCACATTTGAATTTCATACCTTCACATGTGAATTTTATATTTTCACATTTGAATTTCATATTTTCACATGTGGATGTTATATCTTCACACGTAAATGTTATATTAAATATATGTGAAGACATTACCTTTAGTATTGACCAATCAGAATGGTTATATTTGTTCACTGCACTTCAAAATTTAGATTGTTCTGTTTAGGCGAATTGAGCGATGGTAATATATATTTTTTTAAATAAATTAATAAATAGAAATTTTATAATACATATACATTTTGTTTATAGAAATCTTAATGGATATTCCGTTGTATAGCCTATACTACCTGCATTGCGGAATAATACGCTATTTTCACTCTGCAAAATATCTGTTTTCTGCCTTACTCGTGAAATGCATATGATACTCAACGCGAAACCATTAAATATCCCATTTGTAGTTATGCTTTCGTCATAGAGATATTGTTTTCAAATAACAAATATCTACTAGCCCCTGACTAATAGGAATGTGTTCTAGATCCAAACATGAACAATTAGCTCCAACACAGTTTCCGGTCATAGGGTCATGCAACAAATATTTAAAAATATATGCGAGCACACCTAATGCTAGACTGTGTACATATTTTCATACACTTGTAACAAGCCCCTGTTTTCCGGGTTATGTGATAAACACACCCTGGACACTGGTATCTACAACAGACTTAAGTTACGTTGTTAACGGAGATATATCTATACCAGGTAAACAGTGTTGTCGACATACCACATCCAAACTTATTGTTGATGGTATCGGGTACAGACTTTCATACTCTCTGGACAGCTCAACTAAAATATCTCACTGTAGCATTATTCATTATTCAGCATCTGTTTTCAATTCCTCTTTCCCGTCCTTACCTTTCTGATCTGTTTAGGGTATGTGATTATTGTCAGTGTATCAAAAGCAGGACACTTTATAATGAAATATTGATGTATTTTATTACATTGTATCAATTCAAAAATGATTTTTCTTAAATAGATATCCTCATTTTTTCTTTTGTATTACAAGCTGTTATAGGTAGCGTGTGGTTCTATAAATAGAACACAAAATGCTATTATGGTCGTGTAGTCACTTAAACAGGTGTAAGTAACTGTACACTAAAAGGGAAACTTTGTGCTTGTCTAATTAAAAAACTATGTTTACGTTATTATTTCTAAAATTAAACTGTCAATGTACTCAAAACCAACAAACAATAAAGTCTATATACAGCTTGATTGCATACACAAAACTATTTCCTTTGCATGGCAAGCCAATTTCTTCAGCCGCTTTCCCCACAAGTGTCCCATTGTGGGTATATTGACGCTACAATACATGTACGTTTTACTTTTTCTTCTAATTGTTATAATTATATCATTAACAAGCTAACCGAAACATAATATATATGCAACAGCAACCAAATAATTATATCAATTTAATGATTAAAACAAATGTTTAGATAAAAGGCAGACACATTTATGTCTTCCTTTGTCAATTATGTTATATTGTCATCAAATATATGCATATCCATGTGCATTGAAATTGTAAAGAATTGTGAAGAAATGAAAAACAATGTCAAGGTCAAAGGTCAAATTGAGGTCACAGTGACCTTGTGTTAGGATGAGAGACACCACATTCTCATGATATTCCTAAAACAATTTATGCCAATTTATGTAACAGCAGCTGAGATACTGTATAGGGGTGTGTTAGGGGGAGATACCAATCTAGATCTAGATCGCCAAAATCACTTCGCTTAAGTTTCAAATAGCCAAATAAAATGTCGCTAAATTCTCATTCTGCTATGATGTACGGTATCTATAATAGTACCATAATGATATCTTAAATGTTGATCGTTTCAAATCTTCACACCTGCCTTAGTAAATTGAATGTGTTTGAAATACCAAACCAGCGTGTATTTGAACATTTTACACCAGCCTCATAAAAAGGGTGTTTAAAAGCATTTTTGGCAACTTTATTATAATGCAATATTGTAAATCACAAACATGTGTCTTGTTGTAACAGGTAAAATGGATCTATTTCAGGTAGGAATAAATGACAATGTATGGATATCATCTCACTGTACAATACCAGAAAGCCTCAGATAAATAGGTGTTTAAAAGCATTTTTGACAAATTTATAATAAACAAATCTTGCAAATCACAAACATGTGACTTGTTCCGACAGTTAAAATTAATCAATTTATGGTAGGAATTAATAACAATTCATGAATATTTTCAAATAAATTTTAACTCGCTGTACAATTCCAGAAAGCTTCNAGGGTTTTTTTTTTTTTTTTTTTTTTTAGGAAGGATTGGATAACAATGTATGGTTATTTTCAAACAAATTTAACTATCATTGTCTATTACCAGGAAGCAATTAATGTTACATTATATATATATATATATTGTAAATTAAAATATGTGTCTTGTTGTGACAGGTAAAATAAAGCTTAGAAAGGGATAAATTACAATGTAAGGATATTTTCAAATGAAATCTAATTGCCATCGTACAATACCAGAAAGCTAATAATATTACATGTTAGATCTATACTCTTAAAAATACTAAATATTTTTAGCATTTTTAAAGGAAATTATGGCACTGAAGAGCTTAGATACCCCATTGGGAATATTTGGTATCCACAGAGAGTGTATTAAACATGTACATTGATGCACTTTATCTAAATATATGTAAACATGCTCAAGAAATTGTGGATAATGATGATGAAACTGTACTTCAAATTTTAAAGCTTGAATAGTACCCATTATGAATAAAAGCAAAGGCCATGTGCGAGGCTGAAGTATATTGTGACTTTCCTCTGGCCCTGACACCAGACTTAGTATATTTTGACAGATTGTCAGATGTCTGGTGTGGGGCCAGAGTGAATGTAGTACTACGTTTTGATGAATGGACAACAATAATTTGCTGTAATACAACACATACCTCATATATTTTCTTGTTAGCAAAAAGAAACACACATTACTAAATATTTGATATGTCACAAAATGAAAGAAAAATAATACGAGAGGCCCAGATGGACTGGATCGCTCACCTGGATCTTTATGCGCAGCAATGGTATATATGGGTTGGGGATCTCGACCATTTCAAAGTTATGGCTTAGACATGTCCCTCGAGGTTGGGTCAGATATAAGAGTCAATACTAATATCATGATTGTGTTTGTCTCTTGATGCCCAGCAATGGTATATATTATTATAGTGTGGGCATCTCAATTGTTTCAAAGATATGATCCAAGAACTTAGTTCCTAGGGTTGGGACCAGACCCAAGGGTCAATTATAATATCATTATTGTGTTTGTCATCTGATGCTCAGCAATTGCATACACAGTTATAGGGATGGGATCTCGATAATGTCCTAGTTAAAAAATCTTTTTGGTCCCGCCACTCAGGCCCTCCTCCCAGGGGTTCAGCCCCTCCAGTTGTACATTTTTTTCTCCCCACCGCCTGATAAAGCTTCCAACCAAATATGGTTAATATCCTTCTTTTAATTCCAGAGAAGAAGTTCTTAAAGCAATATGGCCAACATTACCCCTCAGCCTCCAAGGGGATCAGATCCTCCACTTATATAATTTTGAATCCCAAACTCCTAGGGATGCTTACAATCAAATTTGGTCAAATTCCAATCAACAGTTTATAGAAGAGGCAATTGTTTTTAAGAAGTTGTTGACGGACAAACGACGGACGATGGACGCCGCGGTACGACATAAGCCCAACTTCAGACCTTGTTAGCTAATATGAAATATTAAAAAAGATAAAATATATTGATATTCAAATGAAATACGTTTTAGTATTTAGCCAATTTTCCCTCTTTAGCCAACCCATGTACTTTCAGGGTTGGGCCATGATCTTATTTTCTGATACCATCTTATTGCCATGTCATAATAATGTCAGAAACCCAAATCAAAATTGACAAAATATGCCCAAAAGTGATATTTCCTTAAATAAACTAAAGCAAACTAACTAAATTTCACCTACTCTCTAATGGAGAACTAGGTATCCCCAGAGGTTATCATATTTACAATTTAGATAAAGCACCGGGGACCTTTCCATCACTGATTATTACATTTGATTTTACATCATGCATTAAAGAGATTATACACATTACCAATGTTTTATTTTGCCATTTTGGCCTGGCAAAATCTTACCTACTGATTCCATCTATTTGCCATCTCATCATAATTATTCGAACCAAGTTTTGATGATTAGCTGCTGAAAATGGGTCAGATATACCCGAAAGTGTTACTTCCCTCTATAAACTATAGTAAACGTTACCTAATGACTATGGGGTTATACAATTTCCAATTTTGAATCACCTTCCCATCGATGAACAGTACTTGATTCTAGTAGAGGTAAAGACATATTTGCCAATTTTCCCTTTGGAGCCCTGCACACACCCGGGGTAGGGGCAGGAATCTCAATTTTACAATTTGATACCCCCTTTCCCCAAAAAATATTCATATTAAGTCTGAAAAGAAAAGCATATCACGCAATTGATCTAAGTTCGTGATCTTGATTAAAGTGTTCCCTGCATGATTTGCTACATTACGCTACGGAAATTCTTCATATTATACAATGAAAGGCCAAAAGAGTGCAAACGTCGTAATGGCCTTCGTTGATATATTGCCATTGCTTTCCTAGAAAGTGTAGTTTTAATACTGCAAACAAAAATGTCCACACTCCCTTTCCACAGCTTCAAAAAACAACATTTGTAAACCGGAGTGTCAGCCAAATCATAATTCGAACCCAAAATCAATAAAACTAGGACAAAATATGAACAAAGAAAAGTGTAACTTGGAGAAACTTAAAAAAATTAAAGGATAATAAGACAAGTTGTTCTGGAAGGGGAATCGACCTGTGCTTCATCGACGACAATTACCATGCAAATCTTGATCTACAAGGCATTCTAATGAGCTTAATTTAGAAAAAACGATTTTCATGGCTCACAAAAATTAGCACATTTCCCTGCGAAATCCTGATGGCGACCATAAAACCTGTTCATTTTTCATTAACCTGCATCTTTGGAAACCCTATGTTGTAAACTTGTCTGCCACTAGTCGACATCTATGACGGAAGTCACGATATTCGGAGACAGCCATTGAATACTAAATTATCACCAACATGTAAACACAGTAGGCAGGGGAAACAAATATGCTACTGTCAAGAAAGGGAATGTTCACAATAGGAAAGTTAAAATCGCCTTATTAATAGGAGAAAAACATTGGCTTGTTATATTTACTTGTATAAAGATATTTCACATAATTGTTTTTTTAATTCTTATTATTGGCAGACAGTTTAGATATTATATTTAAGATAGCAAGCAGCAAATTGCTGAAGCATTTCAGACGTTTTTTTGTTTTCTGCTGTAAGCGTTTCAGCTAAGGTCTCTGTTAACATTAAGGTAGTTGGCCAATAGAAAATATTCCCTTGTCCATTTGTATCAAGGCTAGGGTTTCAGTTACCGATACATAAGCGAGTTGATACCTTGTCGGCATCCTGTATTCTTAGTATTGTCTTATTTTTGCTATGCGAACTTCTAAGAAAAGACAGTTTTACACATTCAATCCTACATTATGTAAACTGGTTTGGTGAGGTTTAAATGTGACTTTATAGGTGAATGAATTAATGTATAAAATACTTACATTCCACAGAAGCACAAACAATGCAAGGGTAAAATCCTTTGGAATCTTCATCATGGCGAATTCTGAATTACGACAAAAAAGGAATATTCTTATTACTGTTAAAGTACATATTTTAGCGGACTTATAACACTCATAGGATATGCATTAGCAAATATAGTGAACTTTAGTTAACAGAAGATTTGAAGCGTAAAGGACGTTCAGATTTCATACCACCAAAATGTGTACGCTTACAGTGTATTGTCCTATTTGTTTCCTTACTCGCTGCAGATGAGGGACCACTTTAGCTGATGACAAAAGGATGTGTCCGACCACAGGTACGCTTTTGGCAAATATGAAAGGGTGCATGAGTCATTTCCAGTAAAAGTGTACTGCTTGATTTAGAAAGTTGTGCAGTGTGGCTATTGATTCTCTCTTAGCTGCCTAGCTCTCTTAGCAGCCTAGATATGCTCAAGGCCACCCTCGCAATAAGGGTAGTCGGACACTGGGACTCTTCTATTGTACAAGAATGTGAATTTGTGACTGTAACCTGTGTGATTGTACACCTATAAAACAGTAGCGGCAATGAGATCTACATGACATGTTTTAGAGTTTGAAGCGATTATTTTTAATCTCATACCTTCACTTTCGTACCTGGAAGAACGTTATACAGAAAAAACCAAAAAGGGAAATATTGACACTAAACGACAAGACGTATACCATCCGTATATTCTTATGCATCGACCACATCGCTCTATAAAAATGCTTCTATAACCGATAAGAGTACTATGAAGTTCAAACATATTAAACATGTTTACCACCGGAAATTGTTTTTATAGTATGATTATCATCTGTATAACACGGTAAATGTTGTCATGTCTAAACATATTTCTGGTTCATTCTTTGCAACGGGCGATATAGCCACACAACAGCTAAGGTCATATGACGACGGTGTACACGGGTGATATAGCCACACAACAGCTAAGGTCATATGACGACAGTGTCCACGGTTGATATAGCAAAACAACAGCTAAGGTTATATGACGACGGTGTCCACGGGTGATCTAGCAACACAACAGCTAAGGTTATATGACGACGGTGTTTACTGGTGATATAGCCACGCAACAGCTAAGGTCATATGACGACGGTGTCCACTGGTGATATAGTCACACAACAGCTAAGGTCATATGCCGACGATGTCCACGGATGATCTAGCCACACAATAGCTAAGGTTATATGACGACAGTGTCCACGGGTGATATAATCACACAACAGCTAAGGTCATATGACGTCAGTGTCCAAAGGTAATATAGCCACACAACAGCTAAGGTCATTTGACGACAGTGTCCACGGTTGATATAGCAAAACAACAGCTAAGGCTATATGACGACGGTGTTCACTGGTGATATACCCACACAACAGCTAAGGTTATATGACGACAGTGTTCAATGGTGATATAGCCACACAACAGCTAGGGTTATATGACGACGGTGTTCACTGGAGATATAGCCACACAACAGCTAAGGTCATTTGACGACAGTGTCCACGGTTGATATAGCGAAACAACAGCTAAGGTTATATGACGACAGTGTCCACGGGGGATATAACCACACAACAGCTAAGGTTATATGACGACAGGGTTCACTGGTGATATAGCCACACAAAAGCTAAGGTCATATGACGACGGTGTCCACGGGTGTTATAGTCACACAACAGCTAAGGTCATATGACGAAGGTGTCCACGGGTGATATAGTCACACAACAGCCAAGGTCATATGACGACGGTGTCCACGGGTGTTATAGTCACACAACAGCTAAGGTCATATGACGACGCTGTCCACGGATGATCTAGCCACACAACAGGACAGGTTATATGACGACAGTGTCCACGGGGGATATAACCACACAACAGCTAAGGTCATATGACGTCAGTGTCCAAAGGTAATATAGCCACACAACAGCTAAGGTCATTTGACGACAGTGTCCACGGTTGATATAGCAAAACAACAGCTAAGGTTATATGACGACAGTGTCCACGGGTGATATAGCCACACAACAGCTAAGGTCATTTGACGACAGTGTCCACGGTTGATATAGCAAAACAACAGCGAAGGTTATATGACGACGGTGTCCACTGGTGATATAGTCACACAACAGCTAAGGTCATATGACGACGATGTCCACGGATGATCTAGCCACACAACAGCTAAGGTTATATGACGACAGTGTCCACGGGTGATATAACCACACAACAGCTAAGGTCATATGACGACAGTGTCCAAAGGTAATATAGCCACACAACAGCTAAGGTCATATGACGACGGTGTTCACTGGTGATATAGCCATACAACAGCTAAGGTCGTATGACGATGGTGTCCACGGGTGATATAGCCACAAACAGCTAAGGTCATATGGCAACGTTGCCTAAGGGTGATATAGCCACACTAAAGCTGAGGTCATTTTGCGACGTTGTCCATGGTTGCTAGCTTTAGTCACACAACAGCTAAGGTGATTTGACGACAGTGTACACGGATGCTATGGCCACACAGCAGCTAAGGTCATATGACGTCCGGTGACAACGAGTGATATAGCCACACAAAAGCTAAGGTCATATGACGTCCGGTGTCCACGAGTGATAGACCCACAAATCGGTTAATGCCACTACGTCATCTTGCCAATGTAGCACTACCTCTCAATTTGGACTCCTGGATGATAGGGACGCGTATAGACACCAATGGAATGAACGTTTGATCAGCAGGAGAGAAAAGAAACAGAGCATGCGCAGCAGAGAAAACAAAACATTAAGCGATCCTTTTTTCTTTTTAATTTATGCATAACATATTTTGTGCAAATCTAAAATATTATAATCTAATTGGTGAGGACTAGTTGAGAGTCAAATCTGTTGGATTACACAGGAATTGAGGAGAAAAGAAGCGAGGTTTGAAGAGAATATATAGAACAAGTTTATGGTTTATGTTGCCTGGATATATCAATTATAAGTAGTTGATGCAAAACTAGTGTTTGCGGATAAAGGTCTATGGGGTTTTAATTACTAACAATAAACTCAAGTTGCTCTCTGAACGTGCATTTGTAAACTCCATCGACGTTTCGTTGATGCATTAGGAGCACGTCTGGTTGAAATTGGCTCGTAAAAGAAGTCAAAAAGAGAATACTCATAAGTGACTCATAGGAAGCCTTGTTGCTTTAAAACAGTTCAAAGGTTATCAGATGGTATGGTCAATCAATAGAAAAAAAACCCCATTTTTGTTTCAATGACGAGTGTGCAATAAGATATCTCAGAGGGTCGCCCAACACTGACACCTCGTGTAATTATCGTCTAATAGCAGTTTAAGGCTTAATCTACTGGCGATAGTGGAGAAGTGATTTATGTGGTTTATGAGTAACAGTCATGTAAACATTGATTGAGTATTTTCTCTTAAACCTTTGTTATATAGCAGAGATTATTGGAAAATTAGTCGCTCTTAAATTATTCCCGAGTGTTTCTTTATATTAGCAAACGTGACAAAAACAAACAGCATCCTAAAGACACCATAGAGATAGATATTTTTTGAAAGGATAGGCTACCTAATAGGAAAACTTCTTCACATATATAGATGTACCCTATCGTTTTATGGTTGGTCATCATGTTTATCTAACTGAAAAAATACGATATGTTACAAAATGCTTTTGATACATAAACGACACATATACACGTATAAAAGACAATCATGAACAGGGAACTTTTTTTCTAGTACACCATTTATATTATAATGTTTCTTATTCATCACTTCAGCTTCTAGCCAAGACCATACATTAGTAATATCTCCCTCCATGTGTCCTAGTAGAGTGTGTGGCTCTCATTGCAGGAATCTTAGTCTGTGACTCCAATTGTGGCTTTCTTAGTTTCTAACTGAATTCCATGGGATACACTTTCGTACGTTCTATGTACCCCTTGATTTTGACATCACGAAATCGAAGGCTCTGTACGCGTTACCGTGAGGATTATATAACTAGAATAGTTTGATTCTTAAATTGACATGAAAAGAATCGCGCAACGATGTCTGCACTGTGGTTTTACCCTAAATACAGTAACCGCCCTTTCTTCCATACGGATATAATAGTAGCACAGATTGGACAGGACACTTTTGTTGACAAGGTTTTTCAGCCGGATAGAGCGATAATATATCAATCTGAAGTCGAGGGTTTGAATCCAGATCTAGCCCCTTAGGGTTATTTTTACACTCAGAACACCTCTTGTTGATTATATTTAGTTTTTTTCGTTTTTATTATTTCTTATAAGAGTCCCCCAAGGTATGGTTTTCTTTTCAGAACTGATTTATCAAAGCTATATCATGCCGTTTCAACACTACATAACAGTTATTGACAGTGGTACGGGGATCCTAAAATTATAAACATACCTGAACTTGGCAATACAGTGAAGCTTTGTCACCTTTGCGTCCTTTAAAATCAGTCGTGACAATGTAATAAGAGGTCTGCCAGTAACAAATGGGGTATCACTGTGATGTTAACACAAAAAAGAAAATCTGTACGTGGAAGGTTGTGTGAGTTTTGTCCAGGTATTACCGTTTGAACAGTGTGGTCATGCATCGTTTCATAGTGTCGTATCGAAGGAGTGAACGCTAGCGTGTGTCCTGAAACACACATACTAGTTTACTTCCGGGTAACTCTTTAAAAAACAGATACACATATGTTATGCTGAGTAAATCCGTACGGTGGTTCTCCTTATTCACCTCTGGGATACATTACCTGGACTTGCATTATGTTATGTAGAGTGTTAGAAGTGATCACCTTGGCAATAGTGTTACAGCAATGTGATGTGCGGTAAGTATAGTCAACTTTGGGTCTTTCGATGGTAGCAGTAACCGTCACACATAATATTATATATGTATGCTATCGGCCATCGTAATATATGTGATTCACATATTGTGATAAAATTCATCCTAACTTGAAGGACTACTTCGTTTTACACACACACATGTCTTGTTACACACGTTGGTCGTACCTTATGAACATCGTTTAAAGGTAAAACACCTTTTATGATAGGACATAGGTATGTTGGTAGGTTTAATTTATTGCTTCAGATGTATTGTACTGTTCAAAACATTGTAAATTAAGGGAGTGTGACGAAAGTAGTTACCTAACCTGCGTTTTTTTCTTTTGGAATTCTAGCTTCATTTTTACAAAGGTAAAGTCAACTATCGATGTAATTATAATACAGGATTTCATGGCTTTATCACTCAAATCTGTCATGACCTCTTTCCTATTCAGGAAACATCGTTCAGCAATATATATTGGGAAACCGAAACTCGCTACGTTTTACTAGCATGGTTGTGTTAGTGAAATATCAATTAAATATTTGCAATCCGCTCGTTTACCAAGCAAATCAATAGTTAAAAGCTATAACTGTTCTGATTGATTACTGACCATTTCACTTCTGGATATTTCAGACTATTAGTAAAGTTGTGAAAGTATATAAGTAGCGTGCACTTCAACATGAGTAATGAACTCGTGGACATTTAGTCAGAAAGATATGAATAAAGATAGTGAAAACATATACCGATTTTCCTACTACCTTTATTCACATTCCCCCTATAACTTCACTTGACCTCACGTCTTCTAGGTGCACTTTACCATAATTAGCCTTCGGCTATAAGCTAACCGGGGATAAACAATGATATCAGCATATTTCATTAGTGATAATCATTTTTAAATGTATTTATGAAGGATTGTTTCATAGGGACAATTTATTAATCTTATTTTAATTTTTTAATTTTTAAACCTTTATGAATTTTTAGTCTCTATTCAATTAACCTTTCTTTCGAGTAGCTAAAAGACACTTTAAAAAACCTGATCTTATTTCAGTGCTGTTATAGCTATAAACTTTACACTGTTGGTTTGACGTTTTTGTGTGGTTGAAACTGACTACTGTTACTTAGTTTAGCTGAAACCTGATGCTGGTATGATTTGCTTGACTTAAAACTGGTTTCATTTCAGTACTTTTGATTTAAACTGAACGTCGATGTCAAGTTATTTTATAAACTCTATAATTCTCCATATCCTTTTATTGTTCATGTTTCAACTTATTGTTCAGTACAAATGACGATTTTTAATAGACAATTAATCTTCACTTATTGTTTTTAAATCAAAATGTTCAACATCTGTTGAATAACCAGTGCTTATAACAGAAAGTTAGATAACAAATATTGAAGGCTGTTCTTATTTTCAACATTTTTGCTGGGAGATGCATGGCAATGCATGATCACAAATCTTGTATTTTAAACTCTAACAAGAACTGATTCTGCAATTTTATACATGACGTAATCAATATATTATTTTAGGAGAAATTTGACTTTCATGTATCATTCATTTGACCACAAGTATTTGATAAATTTCAGGGCACAGGCGGCCTGCAGTGTCAGGTAACGTATAAACAACGCTAGTAATTAATTCATACATCCATTATTTGGAAATAAATTTCCGAGGGGAAAAAAACTATAGAAAAGAGGAAAACGAAACATAAGAACCCAAATTGTGCAATATGTGTAACAGACATATTTTTATCTCTTCAATATCCACTCATTAATATGCAGGGGCTCTGTATCACTCAGTTTTTACAATTTTATGTTGATATACATTATGCAGCGGATATTTTTTTTTTTATCTACATTGCATATATAGTCTGATAAAATTTATAATAAACATACCGGAAACATTAAAGTTAGAATATATTTCTTCCATCCTGTTAATGCTATAATTTTATCACTGATAGTGAGGTGTGCTGTCCTGACGACGATTGTTCCAAGATAGCATATGGTAAGTCATACACATAACAATGAGCAGAGTACATACCGTTGGCAGTAATTTTCCGACTCTATAAGACAAAACCTATTAAGGCCATTTTCCGTGATATAGCAACATTAAAAAGTAAATTTGTTTTATCTATTATGTGTTTCGGTCTTAAAACTGAAACAAATGGTAACCTTCTAGGCATTTCATTGACTGATATTTAATCGCGTTCTATTTTACAGGCCCAAAAGGTACGGGAGTATCAGACGGACAAATCCATGCTCAAATCTATGCTTATCGCTTTCGTTATAACCTGCATATTCCCGATAAAATACGCCCACAACTGCTATTTCTGTCATAACATACGACTAATATCTCTGTTTTAACACACGTCTACTATTTGTGTCATAACATACCTGTATTATTTCTGTCTTATCAAAAGTCTACTATTTCTATCATAACATACATCTATTATTTCTGTTAGAACATTCCTCTACTATCTCTGTCATAACATATGTCTATTTCTGTTAGAGCATACGTCTACTATTTCCTTTAAAACACTATTCCATTATCTCTGTAATAACATACGTCTACTATTTCCTTGAAAACACACGTCTATTATCTCTGTATTAACATTCATTTACTATTTCTGTCATGACATACGTTTACTATTCCTGTCATAAAAAGTCTGCTATTTTTCTCATTACATACTTCTACTTTTTTTCGTCGTATCATGCTATTATTAAGGCTGCCATAACATGCGTCCACTTATGGCACAACACATGTCTGCTTTTGTCATAACAGACGATGAACATCAGTTATTTCCATTATAAATACAATCGATAAAAATACCCGCAGAAATAAACTGGCACGTCAAATAACTTATTGCTGCAATATTAATTGTGAGCAAATATTAAAAAACATCTTTTGTCAGTCTAGACGTGTTTATCGTTCACAAAATGAAACTCGTTTGTATATTCTTTATGAGCAGACGATAGTTGTAGTCTAATGTTTAATTGTCGTTGGATAATTTCAATGAGAGATTTATCAAGTGAAAGTAATATAACCGGAGTGTATTGATAAACTCTTCTAGTTACTATTAACGTCTATACTAAATGCGTTCGTTTTGTCCTAATTTCCATTTTCAAAACTTTCTTTTCAAAGTAATGATAAATAAAATCAAAATATATAAAGAAAACTTTATATGTAAAACGTTTTCTCGAGACACCAAAGTCATGATTTTTTCCCCCTTTCTATTATTATTATAGGTGAAGCTGGTCTTCAAGGACCCAAAGGTAAGACTAATCTTTTTTATTTCATACAATACATGTATTTACTGTACTGTAGACAACCGAGCAATGGTATATCATGAAAAATAAAATTGATGTTATCTTTAATAATCGATAACCAATGCTTTTAAGTGACCGAGAACATGCTATCTTTATATGATATATAACTTATATTTGTAAGTAAGAGATAAATGTTAGTGAGAGAAGAATGTTATTTTATATGATGAAATGGGTTGAACTATTTCCCACAACTATTACTTAAGCTTACCGAAGAGCTTTCGTCCTGACTACGCTGGGACTTTATTACACTTCAGAACATAAATACGGCGCGCTATTGGTTACCTGTTTTAATAGCGCACCATAGATAGTCTGCAGCTGGTGTCGTCCCTGGTCCATGTTGAGGGCATCTTTGGTGGCGCGGATATGTATGGCCTCCCTGACTCCTCCCCTGAACTATTCAGTCTCCCTATCCAGTATCTACCCCTTCCCATTCGATCTTGTGCCCGGTATTTTTGGCGTATTCCGCAATTGCGGAATTACCCGTGCTGTCCTTCATTTGTTCCATGAGTCGTGCTCCAGGGACACGTTCCGACTCACCGATGTAAGAAGCTGCATATACTGTGCAAGCGATTTTGTAGATAACACCAGTCGTCTATTATTTTTTTTATTTTTTTTATTTTTTTTTTATCTTTTGGGGCTACCAGTCTAGATCTGAGTGAGTTCTGGGGTTAAAAGTGTATAACTACCCCGGTTGTAAATCCTCCTCAGACCTTCAGAGATGCGCTGTAGGTATGGATTGGTAACTCGGGCCTGTCTCTGAGACTGGTGGTAGGTCTGGTGGTGTTAGAACGCTTAACAGTCTGAAAGGTCCACTCCTCATATCGACAGATCTTAAGAGATTACTATATTCGCTGATGTTCCAATGCGGTGTCTATATCCTCCGTTATGATGGTGTCGACTCTGTGCTGAAGCATTCTTATCAAACCTAGTTTGTGTTGCAGCGGATGATGCGAGTCAAACTGGAGGTATTGGTGGATGAGTGTAGGTTTCCGATAGACTGACGTAGAGATGGTACCGTCATCATTCCTACTGAACTGGGTATCAGGCATAGGTATAGTTTGGAGTCTTTCTCTCTTTCAATGGTGAACTTTATTTGTGGATGTATGTTGTTGATCAACTCAGTGAAATTGTCCAACTGATCTCTCAGTTGTATCACAAATGTGTCATCCACATATCTGAACCACGTAGTTGGTTGAGTGGGGGCAATGGTCATGGCCTGTTCTTCGAAGTGCTCCATGAATATGTTAGCAATAATCGGTGACACTGGTGATCCCATCGCTGCTCCCCTTTTTTGCTGGTAAAATAATTCTCGGAAAGTAAAGATTGTGGTGGTTAAACATACTTTAATGAGATCTGCTCTATATTGTGGCGTGAGTTTGGTTCGATCAATAAATACTAGGTCATCCAGAAGTCTACGGTGAATCATATCCACCGTTTCTACGACAGATGTACAGGTAAACCTGGCAGTCACATCATATGAGACCATCTCCTCCGTGTCAAGGACGTTCATCTCCTTGAGTTTGTCTAAAAATTCCTTAGAGTTCTTTAAGTGGTGTACATTCTTTCCGATCAGTGGTCCGATAATGTTCTCCAACATTTTGGATGTAGCGTACGTAATGGAACAGATACTAGATACGATCGGCCTGAGAGGGGCACCAGTTTTGTGGATCTTTGATAGTCCATAAAATGGGTGGAACTTCAGTAGTCGGATAGAATTGTCTGTACTATTGTTGAGTAATGCCATGATCATTTCTGACTGTCTTTAAAACTTCCACCAGTTTGGTCTTGAATCAGGAGGTGGGGCTTTTCTTAAGTTTCTCATAGGTTTCTGTGTCCAGTAGTAGCAATTGGGCTTTACATTCATAGTCAGCGCTTTTAAGTACCACAATACACGTCCCTTTGTCAGCTGGCAGGATAGTGATTTATTTATTCTTGGACAGTTCTGATGTAGCCCCTGTCTCCTCTTTAGTAATATTAGACTTGGGTGGTTTACTGGACATGATAAGTCTGGTAGACTCAGCGCAAATTTCCACCGCTCCCTTGTATCATGCCAAGATGTTTACATACAACCTCCGTGCTGGTGATAAAGTCTCGGACCGGGAACTTATCGGGACAAATAGAAAAGTCAAGCCCTCGTTGTAATGATGTTCTCTCATGTGATGCTAATTGTCTATTAGATAAATTCACTAATCACCTTTCTTTCACCGTACGTTCTTCCTCTGAGGTCTGTGTCGTCTCCTCTCTACTGACGCAGAACACCTGGTCTTATTCACTTCGTGCGTTTTTAAGGATCCTCATGGAACTCTTTCCGTTGTTGGGTAATTTGTCCTAGTTTCATCGATTCAAAGTTCGAATTATGGTCTTTTAACAGCACATAAATAAATAAAAGACTCTCTTCGAGACACAAAAGTCTTGATATATGTATCTTTTTTACCGTTATAGGTAACGCTGGTGGAGAAGGACCCCATGGTAAGACTTAGTAAGACTTTTGTTTATGATATTTCATACCATATTAACTGTACTTGTTAGTGACTGAGGAGTACTGTCAAGAATTATAGCTTATACTTAATTACAGCTGAGAAATATTCATTTATATGATCGGTTCCTTATATTTGTTACTGACTGAGAAAATATTACCTTTGCATGGTATTTAACTTAAACTTGTTGATGACATAGACGTTCCCCAACGAATGATGGTTGGTTATCATGTTAGTTTTAACTCGTGCTTACCGCGTGTCGTTTACGATTTCAAAGTTAGCTTATGAGAGTTAGACAGACATGATGACTAGCCATCGTGAGCTTTGGGACCTTTTGCTCCCATAAAGTCCTTACTTGATCTTGAAAACCACACGTTTCCACTGGAAAATATTCCATGTCTGTTGCCGATAGGGAAACAATTGAGATGAAACATTACGTCACAATGGAAGATGACGTCGCATAGAAGTGTTACATGACGTCATAATCAAACCATTGACAATAAGACGACGTCAATGGTGATACCCACTAGCGTGAGGCCACTAATGATGGTAATGGGAGAAAGAGAAAAGTTTCCACGTTTGTGAAATGTTGATGGGAATTCCTCAAAATAAAAACAACAACACAAATCGTTCGAATATTTAAATTGAGACAGTGATTTGTAACAACGAGGGGCCAGACATAGTCTGCTTGATAGTAGCTCATGGATACACGAAAAGCCGACTGGTTAGGTACGCACTTTGCTCTATTAGAATAAATGTTACACGGACAAGCTACCTGGCGTAAAACATTACTCAATGGATCGAGAAATTGCATGGGTTAACGTTACCAATAGCCTCGTTTCCTTTCAAGTGAAGTGTCTTTATATCGAATTCGATCATATAATATCCCCATAAAACTATTAATTCATGGCGTTTTGATTCTGATTTATTCATCGCTATTCTCAATATCTTAGAAAACTCATCAAAGATTTCTTATAATATGAAGAGAAATTCAGAAATGTAGTTTTAATATTATTGAGGTTCAAAAGTTTTGAACTGCTTCATATTTTAAAATTTCTAAGAGGACCCCAGGGTATAAAGGTAAACATGCTTTGATATTTATTCTTTATTTAAAAAAAATCAAGTATACCACAGGAGGAATAGACTTTTAATAGCGCATCACAGAATGTCAGCAATGATATCCCGAAATTGCTATTATTCTGGTGTCCCAAACTTTAACAGCTTAATCATAATTATGCAGTCTTATTGAAAGTGCGTCCCCTAGCGATCAGATTGTGGGGAAAATGTATTAGCCAATCCATTTGTTTTATCATAGCAAAATGTTTAGAATAAAGAATACCTTCGTACTGTTCATTTTAAGCAAGCTGTTTCTATATGCATTGGAGTGAATGTTGTACTTTCACACTTTCTTCGTTTGCTTTCTTATCACATGTTGAGGTCATAAAAAATTCTGAATATATGTAAATTTCTGCTACATACAGCGCTAAATACTGACGTTCATACATAAAGTAAAGACCTTGTCATATTAATGATCTCTTACTCCTGTTACTTACGCCAGCGAATCACTTCGCTATAAGTTACATACTTTTCTGATGTGACGAATAGCTAACTTCTAGGCTTCTCCATCGCCAATGACGTTTCAACTATCCTTGTTCATTTTTCTTTGATTCATATAATCGTTTTAATTGGATTGCACCATGTCCGTCAGTATTTCCGTCCGCCATTCAAACCAACCTATTCTTTGACATTTCACTCAGTAACCATTGTATTGTTCCATTGTGCAAACTTGAGTTATCATTTAAAGTTTTCACGACGTCGACAACAGTACATGTGGGCGTGGTTATGCAAATTTTAAGCGAAAGAAACATTATTTTGTGACATCATTATTAGAAGATAAGGGCAAAGTTAAGCAAAGCGTATGCAAATTTCAGGCTGATACTTTTATATCTACCATCAGTGTTCAGTCTTATAAATTAAGTTTTGATGAACCATCCTACGAAAAAAAAAAAAATACTGTCAAAAAAAGAGAAATATATATTTTGCTCAGAGGGGATAACACCAGTTGAGCCTGGCCAAAACAGAAAATTATACCTATGAGTTCTATATTGACGAAATTGCCTTATGGTGCAGTAGAAATGTTTACTTTGTTTGACTCCTGTCATCATAATACATTTCTTTGTATTTCTAGCGATTATTGTAGATCCACCTTTCCGTTGTAAAAAAGACTATTTGTTGTTATCAACACAAATTTAAAATTGTCGTCTCTTATCAATCAATATTCTTGAATCTTGATCAATAAAAAAAAACACACACAAAAAACCTAATTGATGCATCGACAGAATTTAATTTGTCTAAATAATCATGAATATTTATACCAATAAAGATATAAACTTAAACAGAAATGACAGTTTCATATTCGCATGAACCTGTGTTTCCAATCATCAATCAGAAAATGAAAAATATATCTCTTTTAATGTTCTCGAGACATTTCTTGATACTTTTATTTTTCTCTGTTATAATAGGCTTTCCAGGGGTTTCAGGAGAAAAAGGTAAGAATCATAAGAAAAGAAAAGTGTAACCTTCCTCTGTTAGAAAATAATTGATATTTCTATAAAACATATACTTCATTTATTTTACAATGAATATGAAACAAGTTATATCAACTAATAGAAACTGATATATGTTGGCCTGGAGGATAGCACACAGGGATCTTAATGTGGAAGGAAATCGGAGTACCCGGAGAAATCCATCGTGCTCGGGCAGATGTCCCCATACCTTTTAACGTCATTTACACGTAGAAATATTCTTCGTGCGATATTATATATACGTTTCTACATATATAACAAGAAGTTATTTGTTATTTAACTGAAATGAAGATGAAAGCAAATTAACAGCTGTTGCTTTTTATGGAAACAAGGAGACAAAGGTAGTTATGGAATGCGTGGGCAAGATGGACAGAAAGGAGAAAAGGGTGATTCCTGTTCGTGTAAAACAGAAGGACCTGGTGACGCACAAGCAGGCAGCCAGAAAGGTAAAGCGATGTTAATAATGTTAAAATCAAGATAGTAATATATAGGTCGTTCTTTGGCCGGATGTGATCGTCATTGAACTGTTTTAACGCCATTTACCAATAAAACCATTTCAAATCTTACGGTAGATGTATGAATATATAGGATAGATATTGGTCAAAACTATCCATGACTTCTCCAACGTCAATGATGGAGATCTTTTGGCCATATTTTGAAGGTTATGTCCCCAAACATGATACATAACAAGTGAATGATTGCAAATTTATCAAGGTATTCCAGAAGTTTATAATTTAAAAACAAAAACAAAGAATTATACGCAGGATTCAAGATTGATCGGTTAACATTGAACTATAATTTGATCGTTGGAAAATTCCCTTACAATGCACTCAAAAAACTATATCGATATCTTTAAGCTGTAGAAGACACTTGATAAGAGGACTGCATCAAGGGAATGGGGATGGATGGTGCTTATTTTGCTTTTGTCACGATCATGTTGCTTTGCTGTGCCATTTATATTCTTGTTGTAAAATACATCAAATAAACGGTTCCTGTTTGCAGGAGAAATGCCTAGTGTTAATGGAGGGTTGTTTGCAGCCATCTGTTTGCTGTACGTGTTAGTTCTGGTCATCGTGGCAGCTATGGTTTTCCTCACTTGGTATGTTGGTCACCTTAATATATTTTTTTTACTGTCAAATTAGCTGGTTAATAATATCATGTAGGAAAACTATAAAATAAAATCCACTGAAAACATTTTTTTATACATTATTCAGTTGAAACAATTTCTTATTGATAAGAAAAGCGTTTATCATCAATTTATCTAATCCAAATAATATCAGTATTAGCGTAGATAATATCATAGTTTGATTGATAAATAATATATTTATAAATCAAGATGCTTGCAAACGTCGCTACATAATAATAAATACACCCACTTAAGACCTTGATCAAGGAAACATTCTATTCTCATATTTATGTAGGTAAAGGTGAACTAGGCCAATATTCATGAAACCGTTCTCATGCTCAAACCTGGATTTTGTGCTTAAGCCTAATTTCTTGTTCCATTGATAAATTAATAAAAAAAATATTTTGTCAATGATTTAGAATTTCAATTTTAACATTGACTTTTTAATCGTTTAACATGATTTAAGTGAGTTACAAAAAATGTTGGTTTCAGCACAGAGTCATTGCTTGAGCATGAGAACGGTTTCATGAATACGGACCCTGTTTTCGTTGAGGTTTATCGTAAATTGGAAGACATGTTAAAGGGAGACTACTCCTTATTGCATATGCACTGGTTAAGCAAATATATATCAGGCTATTCATTGATATCATTGGTTCATTTTTGGTTTCTATACTAAATCTCCTTCATTATTCCACCATCTATACATTGTTTCATTTCTGTGCCCTTTCCCACCTTTTTTTCTTTCCTTTTCTCTAAGTCTTTACCCCTTTTCTCTCATTCTCAACTTGTACATTTCCTGTCTTATAATCTGTTCTAATCTCTTTCCGCTCACTTCTGAACAACGTATAATGTTAGTGCAGTTTGGATTTGTTTCTCAAATGTTCCCAAACATTAGGAAACAACACAATGTTAAAATTTCAGTTGTGAAAGTGTTAAGTGTCTGTGTAGGGCGAAATTAACTCTTGGTGACTCAATATTTGCACAGAGCATGTCATATATTTAACTGGCGAGATTTCACGGTAAACAGTATTTTCGCTGCAGTTTATTATCGTTTTTTTTTTACCCTTACGTAATAATTATATTTGAAGGGCGAAGTTATGTTTTTTAATTGTTCTTGTGAATTGCTGTTTTTTTTAAACTCTTTCAGGAAAAATAAGACGACGATGGATACCTTTCAAAAAGTATTATTGTCACTGGCAGAACGGGAGAACTTAAACATACAAGATCAGAGTATGTATTTTTTTTTCAATTTGTACATACGGAATAAGCGTATTCGATAAGGATATATGTAACCGCATAATATGTCAAAAGATGGATTTTCCCTACAAATGCAAAGCCTCTAACCTGCTACAAATATTCAAGTGTTGAATGCAATAATTACGTAATCGATCGAAAGTTACAGTTACAGCAACAAATATTATAACGAATTTTAATGTAATCACAAAGAATTGCTTGTTAAGGATGGATAATGCGGTAGATGTTAAGTTTATTAATTTATCTTTAAATGTATACATGTATTTAATAGTTTACAAAGTGGTGAAATGATTTTAATGACTTCTTGTTAAAAGGCAATACGCACGTAAATACCATATGATACTAAATAATAATAATAATAACTCGAGGTTCTTATATACCGCTTTATCACAACCTAGTTCGTAGGTCGACTCATTTACACCTGAGAAGACTGGAGCAAGCGGAGTAAAGTCAAGTCACGGAACTGTGTCGTTTCTTTGAACAAGCTACTTTACTCCACTTGTTCCAGTCTACTCAGCTGTAAATGAGTACATGGCTGGGCAGCGCTGGAATTGTTGAATGCTAGCTGTGAGCGCCGAAATAGCAGCACAAGCTGTATGCTCCCCCAGGAAATTGAGAAATATATTGGCTGGTTGAAAATGCCCTATAACCACGGATAATAATTTGTGAACCGCTTTCAGACGACCTTTGAACTACATGTAGATTGTGATTAAGTGGGATTAAGGGTGATTTTAATTCACGAATTCAAGTACCCACGAAATGGTGTTTAGTCAGGAAAGCTTGAAATTTGGGCTCAATGAAAATATTTGATTTTACAGTATCCTGCATATATCGATTTAAAACTTTTAAAATTACCTGGTAATGAAAAACAAACACTTATTGACACTTCACTCCAAACTTATTCGTCAAATTACAAGATGAATAAGTATTTATTATCCAAATGACAACATTAAATAAGTATTAATTGCTGAACAGTTTCCTTTGTTTAATTTTTCAATATTTTGTTTTCAAGATTATACCGATCTTGATCAGGGGCAAAGGGAGCCAACACATAAATATGACCAACTATCAGGTAAAATAAATCATTATTACTCTATTTGTAATAACAAGTAATCAATTTTGTACATGTATGTTATCAGTAATTAAGGATGCCACTTATATACGAGTGATCAGTGATCAAGTGACCTACATGTATAAAATCAATTATCAATGTTCCTACATATGTGATAATAGTAAACCGTGTTAGTTCATGTATAATGTATCAATACTACACGTTATTAGAGGTTTAACAATAGATACTCAATGTTACTACACGTGTGAAAATAGTAAACCGTGTAAGTTCATGTATAAGTATCAATACTACACGTTATTACAGGCTTAACAATAAATACTCAATGTTACTACATATGTGATAATAGTAAACCGTGTAAGTTCATGTATAAGTATCAATACTACACGTTATTACAGGTTTAACAATAAATACTCAATGTTACTACATATGTGATAATAGTAAACCGTGTAAGTTCATGTATAAGTATCAATACTACACGTTATTACAGGTTTAACAATAAATACTCAATGTTACTACATATGTGATAATAGTAAACCGTGTAAGTTCATGTATAAGTATCAATACTACACGTTATTACAGGTTTAACAATAAATACTCAATGTTACTACATATGTGATAATAGTAAACCGTGTAAGTTCATGTATAAGTATCAATACTACACGTTATTACAGGTTTAACAATAAATACTCAATGTTACTACATATGTGATAATAGTAAACCGTGTAAGTTCATGTATAAGTATCAATACTACACGTTATTACAGGTTTAACAATAGATACTCAATGTTACTACATATGTGATAATAGTAAACCGTGTTAGTTCATGTATGTTATCAGTACTACACGTTATTACAGGCTTAACAATAAATACTCAATGTTACTACATATGTGATAATAGTAAACCGTGTAAGTTCATGTATAAGTATCAATACTACACGTTATTACAGGTTTAACAATAAATACTCAATGTTACTACATATGTGATAATAGTAAACCGTGTAAGTTCATGTATAAGTATCAATACTACACGTTATTACAGGTTTAACAATAAATACTCAATGTTACTACATATGTGATAATAGTAAACCGTGTAAGTTCATGTATAAGTATCAATACTACACGCTATTACAGGTTTAACAATAGATACTCAATGTTACTACATATGTGATAATAGTAAACCGTGTTAGTTCATGTATAAGTATCAATACTACACGCTATTACAGGTTTAACAATAGATACTCAATGTTTCTACATATGTGATAATAGTAAACCGTGTTAGTTCATGTATAAGTATCAATACTACACGCTATTACAGGTTTAACAATAGATACTCAATGTTTCTACATATGTGATAATAGTAAACCGTGTTAGTTCATGTATAAGTATCAATACTACACGCTATTACAGGTTTAACAATAGATACTCAATGTTACTACATATGTGATAATCAGTAATCAAGGTTAATACATACTTAGATTTTTAACCAATGAATCTATCAGTACTTGAGGTTAATACAGTATATATGTAGCTACATCACCAACACCGACAAGGAGATTCTTCAGACTGTTTATTTGAACAAATCTCAACAACGAGTCTTTTGTTCAACAATATATCAACAATATATCTACTTGCGGATCGACTTGTATAAGATATATATATATATATTTTGGGCAAAGAAGTAATTCCAACAGTGTGGACAAGTTAAGGTTGTCAAATTTTCGAAGCGATCCGCCCGTTTATCAAGACACAGTGAAACAGAACAGTTACATGTACATATACATCATATTACAAGAAGATAGAACTGATATACTATAATTGAAAATATAGCTATTATATAAAACCAATAGTCCCCTCGGCTAAAGACAGCCGAAGGCAGCAATTAAGCTGAGAGCATCGCGGACAAGGAACGCTGATAGTCCAAATATCAGAACGCTCGCTGGCTCTGCTCTATAGCGAAATTGCACAAAGACGACTAGTCGCCTAATGAATCACAACGACGACCCGCCAAAAGATAACCAAAGTCGGAGAAGAATCCCTCTAGAAAACTCTTTAACTACTAAATATTCCGTCTTTGCATATATATATGCAAAACCTGAAAAACCTGAAGAGCCCTGTGAAGGGTGAAAGCAGCTAGTTTTTTAGTCGGTCGTTAATTTTATTTTTTCTATATATATATATATATTAATTCAAATAACTTAATAGTACAATCACACGATAGTTGTTACATTAATACCGCAACACATTCCGGGTATGATGTTCCTAGAATGGGTCGTTAATCAATGCTGCGGCAATGTCTCTCTAAGCCCCTATAGAATCGAGTTTGATTGTAAGAATGACCACTGGGCAGTAAGTATTTACCCAGTAGCCGGAATATAGTGGCGGACATATAGGGTGCTTTATTCGTGCAAGGGGCAGGTCCAAGGTCTACGTCGTAAGTACAATTCAGTCAGAATATTGAAACAGACCATAACAACACAGGTACATACATTCCAAACTGATGACGTCACATACACTGTTTACCAAACGGGACAACACACGTGTATACAAACAGTTGACAGCACTCGTTAATGATATGTATACACACACCGTATATATAAATCATATATATACCCGGGTAAAATATATTCATACTAATTTCCACACGTTTGTATATACCATACATGCATCGACAGTGGTTTAAAAATTGTATTAATACTATTCTATTATAATATGTATTACTAAAATTATGGACTGCGCTGACGATACTAATATCAGATCAGATAAGTTAAATATGTGTTTCGTGTTCTTCCATCTTTTATTACTGCAAAGACTATTTCAAACACATAGTTTTGTGTTTAACTTTTCACTGTACATTTCCACATATTTTCCCAATCTAGCTCACCCGCCTCCCAACGAAGACAATTGCGAAGGTTTTACATACGAAGATCCTGCCTGTAAGTGTGAACAAACAACTACTTAATTCGACTGTTTCAACCAGTTTGTTACGAGAAACTATTGACGAATTCAAACATATGATCTTAAGATTATTGATTGGAAGGTTTTTCATAATTCGAATGCCAAGATGGCTACCATAGCCCCTGATTTGCTGCAATAGTTAAGCTTATAACTTTCCTTTCGATGTTGTCCTACTTTATGGGAAAGATGGATTAAATGACATATTTAAAGATTCGGGAATCAAATTGGCTGATGTAGCCTCTGATTGATTGGAACATTCACAGCTTAAACTTCAATTCAATAGAGATGATTAAACTAATATTCGTTGAAAGTACGAATGATGCACATCTACACTCTTTGTGCTACTTTATGTGGGTCAGGGATGGGATGTGTGATTGCTTGAGTTTATTGGGATGTTGAGCTGTACAGATCTCTGCTATATTTAGCTTTATTTATATATGTTATATTTTAAATAAGAACAAAACATAACCTATGGGAGTTAGTATCACATTATCTGATTCCCTTCGGGATTGACGATATGTAAAAGATTTGTAATTCTATCTAAACGCAACAATTGCTTTTCATATTGTAAAATTAGCATGCTATTCAGTATTTCAACACATTTAATATGTATTTTGTTTGGGTATAAATTAAAAAAACTTGGATATAAGTATGTATAGAATTTTGTTAAGAATAAAATTATGTTTTTAGAATAAACAGTATTATATTTTAATTGAAAAGTATTCTATTAAGTATAAAACTCAATACTCTATTGAATTTAAACGTTGCTTTATTTGGTAGTGTTTTATTTCGTATCAACGATACTTTTACTTAGTATAAACAGAATTTTATCTAGCATAACACGTACTTTTTTAGTATAAACAGTATTCTATTCGACAACGAATGGATTTGAAACCAGGCTAATACTTAAATAATTTCCTTTACATTCCTTTACCTTTTTATGTTATTTAGTCATTTACAATATATAACGGCAAAGAAAAAGTTAATATTGCTGAAAATAACCCTTATTTCACATTCTCTACAAAGTCATATTCATCCTTGAAAACAAGAACTTCAAGAGCTACATTTTGTTATAATAAGAATAATAATCAGAACAGTGAACATCGTCTTTGTTCTTTCGTTATGCACAACGACTTCAATTACACTATCATTAATTTTCATTTCCTTTATAGTATCATACGAGCCCCCAACCCCTTTTTGATTTTTTTATAACACGGTTCACTTTTTCGTAGTCTCTATGTATCGAGAATATTGTAATAGTTGCGTTAACCGAAACTGACGTAAAGTCCATACTTTATGGAAGGCCAGTGAGTGTTTGAATTGAAGTTTGTAATTTCCATATTTAGCCAAAAGTTACATTAAACATTGGCTAAATCAGCTAAAAATAACGTAATTTACATAATCAAATAGTTTACTACTCACTCATTAATTCAACTTCTAATTATTATCACTTACTATGGAAGATACAGATATTCCTTCTATTAAACGAAAAAAACCTGTAAGACAATACGATATTAACGGCAAGTGTTCCTAGAACCTCCCAGCTGTAAATGTATTATTGAAAAAAAATGTATCACTGATTAAAGTAAGTTTTTGTTTGTATTTCAGCTTCAGCGGCCTATATTGAACCCTTACCACCATTAAGTACGTAGTTCATAATTGAAAAGTATGTTAATGTTCTGAACGAGATAACAAAAATTGAGAGAAAATATATCACAAATGTAACATTTGATTTTTCATTACGGTGTATACGAGCATAGTACAGGTTAAATAGGTTGTAGAATAAAACACTTTTTTTGTGTATATTTATGTATACCTTGCCATGGAAAGTAAGTTTTAATGGTTCTAAGTATGGGCTTATATTGCCAATCAATATATATTTTGTCTATATTCAACCGCATTAGAAAATATCAAATGAACTGTTTTCCCGACCAATGTAAAACCTCTAACTTTCTGCAAATATTCAAGTGTTGAATGCCATCATTACATTATCGATCGAAAGTTTAAATACAGAATCAAATAGTATAACGATCTTCAAAGTGATCAAGAAGAATTGCTTGTTAGAACTGACCAATTAAATGGATAAATACTAAATCATAATTATAAACATTAACAAAAAATAGGATGGACAATTCGGTAGATGTTAAAATTAACATTTTATCCTGAACCTCCCAGCTGAAAATGTATTATTGAAAAAATGTATTACTGATTAAATTAAGCTTTTGTTTGTATTTCAGCTTCAGAAGCCTATATTGAACCCTTACCACCATTAAATACGTAGTATATTTATACTTTGTTGAAGTATAGTAAATAATTGTAAAGTATGTTTATGTTCTTTACGAGATCACAATGTGTACGTGGTAAATAATATAATTACAAAGTATATTGATGTCCTGAACGAGAGAGAGACAAAGAGACAGAGAAAGACAGGTAGAGAGAGAGAGAGAGAGAGAGAGAGAGAGAGAGAGAGAGAGAGAGAGAGAGAGAGACAATATCACAAATGTAACATGTGTTTTGTTATGTAAAACCCATGGCGTCTTCTTGCGTTTTGACCTATAAAGATGGTGATATTGTTATTAACAGCCATGGTTTGTGATCTGATGGCATCAATTTCATATTTAATAAAACATGTACAGGGGTGTCAGCGTTTCAGTTGACAAACGGAATGGAATGAAAACGCAATGAAAACGCAACGAGAACGAAATGAAAACGGAATGAAACAAGGCCTAAACGGAACGGAACGAAAATAATTTTACTGTTTGGAACGAAACGCGAATGTAACAAGATGCAAATATTTAGACCACTCAAACACAAACTTGGTAGGATATATCTGGAAATGATATATTTGTCCAAATCTTGAGTATGCTAGTGGTGTATGGAATAATTGTGATCAGACTGAATAAGATCTTCTGAATTTATCAAGCTAGATGCTGCTAGAATTGTTTTTATTACTGGTCTCCGAAGAGGTACTAGTCATGAAATCATCTATTATTCTATTCTGGCCCTTTCCCGAGGGAACTGTTCTCTTATAGTGTTGTCTGGGGTGGTATAGTGCCCGAGTCGAGGGAAAGGGTCATAATAGATTTAGTACATCACATGACTGTCAATTGACAATAAAAAGGCAAACATGAGGAACTTCATTGATAATATATTTAATAAGTAACAACTGCTGGAAATTTGAACGTAACATTTGAAGTTTTGATTCCTGAGTTGTTGTTAATTGTAACGGTACAATTACTAAATTTGAAAGAAGGTGCACAAACAATGGAATGTCGAAATCTCTGCCACATGATGGTTCTTGTAAATACCACCGCAAACATTGCCTGATGGCAATGAGTAGATCTCTCCTTTTTTTGTTGCGTATATTGGCATAGAAATCCGCCAAAGCACCGTTCAATTTACTGGATTGAATACGGTTCCCGTTTCCAGTAGGAAGTCTTTAAGGACTGCGACGGCAAATTGTGTCGCCTGCTTCGTCTTTATGCATTACTGAGCCTCTGCGAAGCAGTCGGCATTCCCGGTCCCGAATCTCGAAGTCATTTTGGCAGATGACAACAATGAAGTGAAAGTAGAATATGTACAGCGCTCCCTAGGAGAGGGGGCACAACTCTTAGCGTCACGCTACTTTTCCCGCAGTCTCAGCCGTCCAAAAATAAAGGTATAGTGCCCGTCTTCAGGTATAGTTCCCGTTGTCAAGGGTGGATGCTAGCTATACCAAATAGAACAAGGGTAGTTCCTAGAAATTATCATGTGATGTACTAAATCTGGATGGGACGTTCTTAAGAAACGTAGAAAGGATCAGCAGCAAGTAGTGTTTTACAAAAATAATTAACCATGTTAGTCCAAATTATCTGTTTGAAATTATGGAACCTTACATAATTAGCGATGAAGATTTGACCTATCATGTCTGACATCAACGTAAATTTGAACCACCAATTTGTCAATCTAATAATACTTAAACAGTTTCTTTCCTAGCATAATGTATTGGTGGAATAGACCTGAATGTAATTATTATAATTTAAGATCTATCTGTGAACTCAAAAAACAAATTGTTCTTCATGCCATACCCCAAAATACTGAAGATATATGTACTATTTTTTTTTAATTTTTTTTTAAATATGAAGGGACTAGATCTTTAAACATAATTTTTTGTCAACTTCGAAATCGTGCAAGTCAACTGAACTCTGATCTCTTTAGAGACTATCTTAATGATAATCCCTCCAGTATATGTGGTTATAATAATGAAGATGTGAGTAACTTCTTTCTGCATTGCCCTAGATACATGACTCAAAGACAAAATATAATATCTGCATCACATTTACAGCATGACATCAATTTAAATTTACACTTAAATTTGGACTTAAACCTTTATGAACATTTCATGTTTAATGCTAATATATATTGACTAAAGGAAGTAGTTACCTTAGTGAAGATCTTAACTCTGCTATTCGTGTTTGTGTTCAGAGATATATAGAACCAAGCAACAGATTTTGAATGTTATGTATGTATGCGCCCGCGCGTGTGTATGTGTGTGTGTGTGTGTGTGTGTGTGTGTGTGTGTGTGCGTGTGTGTGTGTGTGTGTGTGTGCATGTTTGAACATGTTTGTATGTGTATGCATGCATGCGTGTAATTCAAAGTCTGTTATCTGTTATTGTTTGAGATGTACATCAAGGGAGAGGGCTTGTATAGGCTTTGTCTGTTGCCCAGTTCCAATTGAATCGATAATAAAATATTGTGAATGAAATGATATTTTATCAATTAATGTCTTCTTTTTTTTGAAGTAAATTGACATATTATAACTAATTAGATTATTTCCGATAAACGTGATTCTTGTTATAAGGTTTTCTCTCTCCTTCACCTATGCAAGATGAACGTATAAGCGTACCCGGTGGCTCTTAGTTCAAGAACAACACTTTTTGTTTGTGTTAAAATTGTTCAACATGTTGTCAACCGACGTTCTACAACGTAGAGTCACGTCCGATTAATATGTGTTTTAATATTCCATATGTATCGCCTAAATAGAGTCGGCAACTGATATCTCCTCATGGCAATAAAGTATTGCAGGCTAATTTTGTCTTATAAGTGTTCATTTTGTAACCAGTTTCTTTCCTGTGCTTTAAAACTCTGTTCTGTTCTTATTTAATTTGCAGTAAGGGATGGATTGTAAACAGTGGTAATCAATGTTTAGGTTTTGGATATATGCATATTTGGTGCAGAGTTTTGAGTCAAAATTTCGGAAAGCTTAGATTTTCACCATGAATTCTATACTTTCATCTAGAATATCCTTATTCAATATGCCTACTTTGGGGAGATATGGAGATTATGTATTGGTATTTAATGAAACTAGTAGAGTTAAATTTGTTTACTTACTTATGGAATGCTTTATATTAAGTATCAATTTTGAATTAAACAAATAAAACATTTTCAATATTAAGCTGGTTCGATCTTTTTTTTTATATCTTTAAGCCGACTGAAGTAGAATATATCAATCATATAGTGACTCAATTTGCCAATTAGTTGTTTCCTCTTTCCTCCCAGAAAAGACGAAAATTAGTAATTTTGTATTTACGTTGTTTCGTCTATTTGCCCGCAAAGATGATACAGCGATATTTACGGTTGGTTGATTCTCGTTCTTTTTCATGGCAAAAAGACAAAAAAAACCACGACATGGTATAATTCAGCCACAGTAGAATCAACTTCCGAATAAATATCAAAGTCTTATCGGTGGTGTGCGAAAACTCATATTGGATGCATACAATATACCCCGTTCCTATCGCCGTACTGGCAAGCTGGATCTCCATCAAGCAGACTGATTAGAATCAGAAAAAAGGAGTTCTGGATCTAATTATTTATTTCTGAGACTAAGGATATTTATTAGATATGAAATTATCACACGTGCCCGCACTCATCCCGTTATTTACTTTTTGGCTTTACATTATCTTTCCGTCACAAATATTATATTTTTTTCTTTTGCAATTTTTTGTTTTGTTTCTGACAACATTAGAATAAAATGTTAACCTTACTCCGTTCAGTCAGGATCGAAATAATAACTTCAAAAATAAATAGCTTTCCCTGTCTCCATTCGGCAACAATTTAAAGTAGCACCCTTAAATCAGGATATCACTTAATATAGCGATTAACATTATATCACCAAAACTTTTATCACTTTCTAATGTGAAAAACTCCAGCATATTTTAGTGGCCATGACATTCCTTACATCTGAGTTACTTTAACAATAACAATAAAGAAACATCGATATATTAAATCAAATATTACAAGACCATAAATTTAGAACAAAATATTCTTTAGAGAAAACGTTCCTTGAAAATCATCTAAATACACCATTCTTTCGAAACTTTATTCTTATTTAGAAAAGCATCTCCATTTCCAAATACTTGGCAATAAACACTCAAACAAAAGTAGCACAGGGGTCATGTTATAGTTTATGAATTTCAACAAAGTAATACGGGGGCCATGTTATAGTTTATAAATATCAAAATAGTAATACAGGGGTCATGTTATAGTTTATAAATATCAACAAAGTAACACAGGGTCATGTTATAGTTTATAAATATCAAAAAAGTAATACAGGGGTCATGTTATAGTTTATAAATATCAACAAAGTAACACAGGGGTAATGATATAGTTTATAAATATCAACAAAGTAACACAGGGTCATGTTATAGTTTATAAATATCAACAAAATAATACAGGCGTCATGTTATAGTTTATAAATATCAACAAAGTAACACAGGGGTCATGTTATAGTTTATAAATATCAACAAAGTAATACAGGGGTCATGTTATAGTTTATAAATATCAACGAAGTAATACAGGGGTCATGTTATAGTTTATAAATATCAACAAAGTAACACAGGGGTCATGTTAAGGTTTATAAATATCAACAAAGTAACACAGGGGTCATGTTATAGTTTATAAATATCAACAAAGTAATACAGAAGTAATGGTAGGTAGTAACTAATCTAAGAGGGATTAATATAACTTGAAAAAAACTTGTTTCATATACAACAGTTTTAAAATAAACAAAATTAGTAAATATTTATATATAAATAGCGAACTATGATATTCAAGCAAAACATATTATTGCTATAACGCCGTTCAGTTTATATCAACATAGACATAATAGAATAGCATATTTTTCTGAAGTATAAATATCTACACAAATGTAGTATAGAGACCTTAACACGAAATGAATTTTACACGAAGTTAATTAAGGCGTTGCAAAAGAGAGCAGTAGATATGTTCACAAAAATACAAATATGTCGCACTGTAAAAACAACAACAACAACAACATACTTAAGTTTAAAATAGACAACCTAAAAAAGGAGGAGTTCCATATGCGATAGGTGTGCTTAAGTTCAGTCCGGGTTATCTAGTGTTAATTACATATGCGTTACATCGGCTGCGTATCACAAGTGTACAAATCTTACAACTGGTGTCTTGATTAGTAACACATATGTGTAAGCGTGGGACGTTTCTTTTTCCAAACAAACACTCATATGCTGTGATTTAATAATAGATCGCTCAGTTGGATCTACGCATGCAGTAAATGGATATGACTTCAGTATGCAACACATAGTCGTCGAAGTGTCCACATTGGTTGTGGTTTAATAGTTTTGTTGGGGTGTAGGGTAAGTGTCCACATTGGTTGTGGTTTAACAGTTTTGTGGGGGTGTAGGGTAAGTGTCCACATTGGTACTGGTTTAACAGTTTTGTGGGGGTGTAGGGTAAGTGTCCACATTGGTTGTGGTTTAACAGTTTTGTGGGGGTGTAGGGTAAGTGTCCACATTGGTACTGGTTTAACAGTTTTGTGGGGGTGTAGGGTAAGTGTCCACATTGGTTGTGGTTTAACAGTTTTGTGGGGGTGTAGGGTAAGTGTCCACATTGGTTGTGGTTTAACAGTTTTGTGGGGGTGTAGGGTAAGTGTCCACATTGGTTGTGGTTTAACAGTTTTGTGGGGGTGTAGGGTAAGTGTCCACATTGGTTGTGGTTTAACAGTTTTGTGGGGGTGTAGGGTAAGTGTCCACATTGGTTGTGGTTTAACAGTTTTGTGGGGGTGTAGGGTAAGTGTCCACATTGGTTGTGGTTTAACAGTTTTGTGGGGGTGTAGGGTAAGTGTCCACATTGGTTGTGGTTTAACAGTTTTGTGGGGGTGTAGGGTAAGTGTCCACATTGGTTGTGGTTTAACAGTTTTGTGGGGGTGTAGGGTAAGTGTCCACATTGGTTGTGGTTTAACAGTTTTGTGGGGGTGTAGGGTAAGTGTCCACATTGGTTGTGGTTTAACAGTTTTGTGGGGGTGTAGGGTAAGTGTCCACATTGGTTGTGGTTTAACAGTTTTGTGGGGGTGTAGGGTAAGTGTCCACATTGGTTGTGGTTTAACAGTTTTGTGGGGGTGTAGGGTAAGTGTCCACATTGGTTGTGGTTTAACAGTTTTGTGGGGGTGTAGGGTAAGTGTCCACATTGGTTGTGGTTTAACAGTTTTGTGGGGGTGTAGGGTAAGTGTCCACATTGGTTGTGGTTTAACAGTTTTGTGGGGGTGTAGGGTAAGTGTCCACATTGGTTGTGGTTTAACAGTTTTGTGGGGGTGTAGGGTAAGTGTCCACATTGGTTGTGGTTTAACAGTTTTGTGGGGGTGTAGGGTAAGTGTCCACATTGGTTGTGGTTTAACAGTTTTGTGGGGGTGTAGGGTAAGTGTCCACATTGGTTGTGGTTTAACAGTTTTGTGGGGGTGTAGGGTAAGTGTCCACATTGGTTGTGGTTTAACAGTTTTGTGGGGGTGTAGGGTAAGTGTCCACATTGGTTGTGGTTTAACAGTTTTGTGGGGGTGTAGGGTAAGTGTCCACATTGGTTGTGGTTTAACAGTTTTGTGGGGGTGTAGGGTAAGTGTCCACATTGGTTGTGGTTTAACAGTTTTGTGGGGGTGTAGGGTAAGTGTCCACATTGGTTGTGGTTTAACAGTTTTGTGGGGGTGTAGGGTAAGTGTCCACATTGGTTGTGGTTTAACAGTTTTGTGGGGGTGTAGGGTAAGTGTCCACATTGGTTGTGGTTTAACAGTTTTGTGGGGGTGTAGGGTAAGTGTCCACATTGGTTGTGGTTTAACAGTTTTGTGGGGGTGTAGGGTAAGTGTCCACATTGGTTGTGGTTTAACAGTTTTGTGGGGGTGTAGGGTAAGTGTCCACATTGGTTGTGGTTTAACAGTTTTGTGGGGGTGTAGGGTAAGTGTCCACATTGGTTGTGGTTTAACAGTTTTGTGGGGGTGTAGGGTAAGTGTCCACATTGGTTGTGGTTTAACAGTTTTGTGGGGGTGTAGGGTAAGTGTCCACATTGGTTGTGGTTTAACAGTTTTGTGGGGGTGTAGGGTAAGTGTCCACATTGGTTGTGGTTTAACAGTTTTGTGGGGGTGTAGGGTAAGTGTCCACATTGGTTGTGGTTTAACAGTTTTGTGGGGGTGTAGGGTAAGTGTCCACATTGGTTGTGGTTTAACAGTTTTGTGGGGGTGTAGGGTAAGTGTCCACATTGGTTGTGGTTTAACAGTTTTGTGGGGGTGTAGGGTAAGTGTCCACATTGGTTGTGGTTTAACAGTTTTGTGGGGGTGTAGGGTAAGTGTCCACATTGGTTGTGGTTTAACAGTTTTGTGGGGGTGTAGGGTAAGTGTCCACATTGGTTGTGGTTTAACAGTTTTGTGGGGGTGTAGGGTAAGTGTCCACATTGGTTGTGGTTTAACAGTTTTGTGGGGGTGTAGGGTAAGTGTCCACATTGGTTGTGGTTTAACAGTTTTGTGGGGGTGTAGGGTAAGTGTCCACATTGGTTGTGGTTTAACAGTTTTGTGGGGGTGTAGGGTAAGTGTCCACATTGGTTGTGGTTTAACAGTTTTGTGGGGGTGTAGGGTAAGTGTCCACATTGGTTGTGGTTTAACAGTTTTGTGGGGGTGTAGGGTAAGTGTCCACATTGGTTGTGGTTTAACAGTTTTGTGGGGGTGTAGGGTAAGTGTCCACATTGGTTGTGGTTTAACAGTTTTGTGGGGGTGTAGGGTAAGTGTCCACATTGGTTGTGGTTTAACAGTTTTGTGGGGGTGTAGGGTAAGTGTCCACATTGGTTGTGGTTTAACAGTTTTGTGGGGGTGTAGGGTAAGTGTCCACATTGGTTGTGGTTTAACAGTTTTGTGGGGGTGTAGGGTAAGTGTCCACATTGGTTGTGGTTTAACAGTTTTGTGGGGGTGTAGGGTAAGTGTCCACATTGGTTGTGGTTTAACAGTTTTGTGGGGGTGTAGGGTAAGTGTCCACATTGGTTGTGGTTTAACAGTTTTGTGGGGGTGTAGGGTAAGTGTCCACATTGGTTGTGGTTTAACAGTTTTGTGGGGGTGTAGGGTAAGTGTCCACTTTTGTTGTGGTTTAACGGTT